CAATTGATATCCATGGATTATGTTGTCATGCCTCTTCACACTCACCTTGGGGACTGGGGAAAGGTCAAAACGAGATAGAGTGATTTTGAGTGATTGTTTTATACAGCTGTGGCTGGAATTTTACCCTGCTAGCAGCGTGCGCTGTCATTGGATTTTTCAAGGTCACATGACATCTAACAATAAAACAGTTCCTCCCTCCAAAAAAGGAAATATTTTAACTTGGGATCTTGGGATCTTTTTGAACACAGCTTGGACTTACTACTTTGGTGAAAAGAGCGAGGATTTCCAATCCATCATTGAAAGCTTTACTTCAGCGTTTAGTGGCCTATCCCGCTACAGGTAAGTTTCACTTACTACAAAATTTGTAATGTACTATGCAGTGTTTATGAAGCCCGACAGACTCGTATCAGCGGTTAAGTAAGTAACCAACAACGACGGCGAAGACGACGAAAACGTCAAATTCGCGCTGCTTCAAACTTTATCGCTCTTATTCCATCTCGCTCAATTCGTCAAATGTTGACTAATTTTTCTGGAGTTGAATTCTAAATAACTGTATCGAAGTTCAGGAAAAGAAAAAAAGAGTCGTTCTCCACAAAACGTGAAATTAGCCATCTTTCACGTCGTAGTTGGGCAGTGACGGCAAAGAAATGTGCAAAAAAGGCGTGATGCGTGCACGTGCAAAGTTGTTGTTTTGCTGATCTAAACCTATTGGTTTCTTGACGTTCTCGTTGCGCCGTCGACGACGGCAACATCAACTCTGCACGTGTATCGCTGAAAGTTGAGAAACGTTTAAAACTTCATTTTTAGAGGGATTTTTTTGCCAACTTAGTTCAACTATTTAGCAACTGTTTTTTTGTGTGTGTGAGTTATCTGCAAGAGTTTTCTCGCCTTTACCCGATAAGAGAAATAAACTAAGCAAACAAAGAAAGGCTGGTTCGATGTTTTTTTCATTTGTTGTTTTCTCATTCATGCCTTGTAGCTACTGCAAACATTTGCAACGTGGTCCTTATGAGAAATCACGAGCTATTCACAGGGATTGAAGTGAAAGAGAAAGATGGAAATGTTGTAGGAACTTCAAAAATAGCTGCTAGAAAGGTAACTAAACGCTGAATCGATAACCCAGAGCGAGAAACTCACAACTCTTTTTGTAGAATATTAGGAGCATTCTATCTTGATTTCAATCGCCATGACATACAGATCGATAAGTAGCCTGTGTACAGACGTCCCCCCTCCCTCACTCCCGAGGGAGGGGGACGTCTGTACACAAGCTAATCGATAAGACAACGCGCCTTTTCTCAGACAGAACGATATCATCCCCGCCTAGCAACGTCTGACAATTTGCCTTGCAACGCAACCAATCAACCCTGATAACGAACGCGATAACTGACGTCATTAAACGCTCAACCTGAATCCGTTGTCAGGTGGCAATTAAACGTCGCCACTCAACCTTGTCCTGAGTTTTGGCCTGCGCTTCGCCCCATGTTTAAAATAACCTCCGCGTATTTACCATAAAATTTGCAAACGAAGCCAGAGAAAACAGTCGACATTTCGCGACGCTAGCACTGTTTTTCCCGCCAAATGACGTCTGGGAAACGAGCGCGAAATTCCATACAAAGGACGCGTGATACGTCATCAGTATGGAATTTCTGCGCTCGTTTCTCAGACGTCATTTCGCAGGGAAACCAGTGGTGGGGTCGCAACGTGCCGGCTGTTTCCTCAGGCTGGATTCGCGCGTCTTCGCTTACTTGACCAGCTAAGGAGCAAGGAGCCGGCGAACAAGCATGCACGGTTTAGCCATTGTTGTTGTTATTGTTGTTGTTTTCAGGCGGTCTTTGAAACAACATTAACTCGAGTGTTACTTCCGCTACCTGTGTTGGTGATTCCACCGTTTGTTATGCAGCTTCTTGAAAGGTAACACTCAGTCACCTGCCTCAGTCCTCCCTAACCGCTTCGGTTTTCGCACACAGGGGAGTGCGAAACGCGAGTGACACGCGAGTGACGTCTGGGTACAAGGCAGCTCAGTTGCCACGTTTTTGGAGTATCCACTAGCATTATTCGTTCGCCTGAAAAAAGGCCTTCTCCATGCTGGATCTAAACTACACCAATTTTTTACCACTAACTGGCTTTGCATTGAGAGTCTGCATTTGAAGTTTGATAAATTGGTAAAATTGATATTACTATGAAACGATAACAAAGAAAGGTCGAAATTAGTTCAATTCTAATTACGCACGATCTAGCCCTGCTATTAAAAATCCTGATGTTAATTAACAGTTAATGAATGAGGCTGAGTATCTTATGAAGAATTATGGAGATCGAGGAGGGTGAACACCCTCAGAGATCTCCATAATTCTTCATATGATACGAAAGCCGAATTCAATAACTGTTTTATTATTCATTCAAAACAATTCCTAGTTTAAAAACCTAGCTAAAACATGCTTACCTCCATCGATCCATCGATGTTCAGTTCATCTTCGATACTGTACGTTTAGGTTTGTCCAGCTCCGCAAATATTCTCCAAATAGCAGATGTCGCCTTTCGAGTTGTCTTCTTGCTGTTCTTGCCATGTTTTTAGCTATGTTTTCGCCTAGTTCTTACTCTTGAAACGAGTGAAATGTCCGCCATTTTTTCAAGTTCCCAACCAAAACAACTTAACCTCGTCCCCAGGTCTTCTCGGTTAACGGTGCCTTAACCTGCGAAAAGCTGCATTTTTGACGTCATTTCCTCGTTAAAGTCAAATTTCTTCCAAATTTGGTCAACAGTAACTGGTTATGGTGAATTAAACGTGTGATTTTAGCCAATCAGAATCGGGGAAATATTTTGAATGAATAATAAGTGTACTTTATAGCCAATTAATCTCCAATCTCGCACCACGACCGAATGTTTACAAAGACCTCATAAGTGTCTCAAATACATTTATCTGTTCGGGTGTCTTAGAGGCCTAGGAACTTTGATCATCAATCACCAAAGTTTTAAGTGGCTTTATCGTTTCATCCAAGACTGTTAGCTACCTTGATTGGCCCGGTAAAGGTGGAGGACATGGAGTGGCCGTATTTTAATGAGAAAATTCTAGGGGACTTTTTGTTTTTATACCGAAACTTAAACAAGACCTTTTTTAACAATTATCACAATATCTTGGTAATAAAATGCGAAAAGCACAACTGCCGAAAATCGTGGGTAAGTTAGTAGAAAAAAATCTGAATATCTTCAGATGTCTTAGACGATTAAAGCGGTTATCCAGAAATTCTTAGCCTTGATGAATGCATCGAGACAGATCACTGAGAGACCGTTACAAATTTTGCGTTTAAAATGAAACAAACCAGACAATTTTCGATCTATTTCAGGTCAATAGGCGGGCGCTTGAAATTTTAAGTTATACGTGCATCATCTCTAGACAAATCTTATTGAGCGCAAGGTGTTTTTCCACCGCAGGACGAAATTTATGATGTCTCGTCCCAGGCTTCATCTTCCTGTTCAAGCGATGGTTTGTGTGGCTGCTTTTGGCTTTGGTTTGCCACTCGCTATCGCTCTCTTTCCACAAACATCTCAGGTAGGGTCTTTGATAACGAAAAAATATTAATAAGGACTTCTCTAATAAATGGTTGGCTCAATTGTTTGGGTTCCAGATTTCGAAGGGGTAGGCTCAGAATTCGCTTCCCGGCCGGACCAATATTCAGGGTTTAAATTTAGGAGAAGGTGTTGCCTTTATTTTACATCTTCAGTTACTAAGACATTTTAAAATTGTACGGAAAAAGAAAAAAGTCAACGAAAGAAGGTACTAAAGAATTTCTCGTTTGTCTACCCAGGTAATATCGAAATTTGCGCTTTTGATTCTCGTCAGAGTTAGCAACTGCTTAAAAAGTGCTTGTACACGGCCGTTCTTATAAACTTTGTCTTTAAATGGAAGGGGTTATTTGGAAGTGAGAGTTTTACACTTACAAGCTCTGTGGTAAGGAAGAATGATTTCAAACTCATAGTGACCTTTCTGACATATTTTACCTCCGAAACGAAGGCGGTGGTTGACTTCTAATTTTTTTGCATCTCAGAAACGAGTGAATTATTAATATGCGAATTAAAATTGCGAAATAACTGCTGTTTAAAATTGTAATAAAAACAGACTGCAATACGAATCAGTACTTTATAACATTGCTGGGAAGACTTTCGTGTGAAACAAACCTAGCAAGAATCCCCTAAATGTCATTTTGTTATTTTTTAGGTTTCGCCGTCTGAACTCGAACCCGAAATTCAGATGAAAACAAAAGAGTCCAGGCTTTACTACAACAAAGGACTTTAATGTAACGATATCATATGATGACAAATGAAATTTAACTCAGTGTATGGAGCGTTTTTCAATGGACTCTTCTCACGTAGTCGTCTCTCTGACCAATCATAAAGTCTACAGACAGTCTTTGAACCAATCACAACTTAAAGTAAAACATGCAACCGGCGAGAAGCTAATTTCTGAGTTGCCCCTCGCCTCTTTCTCAAAACGAGGGTAAGTCCGAATTCTTTAATACGAAAATTATTTTTTCATGTTCTTGCAAATAAAACTGATTTCACATGAAAGCTTTTGCACTTGGCCTCATTTTGAAAGTGTGAGTTTTGGCACTCGGAAATGGCTCACACTCTGTTGAGAACCACTCCATATAGATAATGTAGTAAAATGTCCAGGGTAGCAAGCATCCAATGCGTTTTGGTTTGTTGAATACTTATAATTTAGTATCCCCTTGTAACTAGATAATTTTATATCGAATGTAAATTGAACACAAAATCTCAAAATACATCTAAAAAAAACAAAGGAACAAAATGGTTTTCTAACAAATTATAGCTTTGCTTGATGCAATGAATATTACGAGACGAAGGAATGACAAAGTGCTCAATTATGTGTACTTAATAAATCTCTTTTACTTGCAACATAGTTACAGAACAAAAGAATTGTGTGTTGATAAATTATGGTTAACAACAAGGCTCTCGAAAGTGGCGTAATTGTGTGGCAACCTTAGCTACTCCTTTGTCCTGCCAACTTCATCAACAGAAAGCTGAAAGTTCGCCGCGAATATCGGTCTCAATGAATTGCAATTCAGTTGTTTAAGAAAAAACCCTGAAAGTCCCTTGGTACCATAGACACGATCGTTGAACGTGCATCCGCTTCTCTCCGCTGAGGTCTTGGAGAATTCCCTCTTCTGTAGTGAACTCGGCGACGTCTTGTCCTCGTGTAAACTCTCTAAAGTGAAGAATTTCGAATCAAGCAAGACATGTTATCGTTTTTTTTCGCGCCTTTTTTTGCGTTTCGCGTTTTCCATCGCAAAGAGGTTATATTGTTTTACAGAGATTTGATAAAAGTGCGTTAAGCGATCTCAGATTACAGAAAGCTTTCACCTCCGTCATACCGGCCAGATGGTCTCGATGGTATGGAGCGAAATGTTTCTGGTCCATTAGGCGATCAGTTTAACCGAAGACAAACGACTTATGGTAAGTAGCCGTTTGCCGGAAGCATGATGCTTTTCCACTGTATTTTTCATTTGATGTGGCTCAGTACACTATGGATGTTCTAGTGTTGAACTTGCTCAAAACCATTTTTGCGTCATCTGTTTGTGGTCAGCAACATCTGTAGTGTGCTCCCTCGTTTAGACTACGAGCAGTCTCTCTTTTTTCTGTACTCCGTCGAGCAAAACGCGAGACATTTCGCGCGTCTCGCGGCTTCGCCGCTACCGCGCGCGTGCATTGCTCTCACTAAATCTGAAGAAAAGGAGAGACTGCTCGCAGTCTACCCTCGCAACCGGTCTCTGTTCACGCACTGACAAACGCATATTTTGTGTGAATATCCGTTTTCGTGTTTGAAATAGAGAGCTTAAGCATCGACGACGGCGACGGCAGCGAAAACGTCTCTTTCAAATGAATTCGCGTTTTTTCAAACTTTGTCGCGTTTATTCAAATTCACCGAAAATGTCAAATGTAGGTGTATTTCCCTGGAGTTGATTTCTTGGGAACCGAACTCAAGTTTAAAAAGAGAAAGAAAAATTCGTCGTCGCTCGTTTACGTCCTTCTTAGGCATTTCACGTCATATGGTCATGCAGTGACGGCAAAGAAATGTACAAAAAAGCGTGATGCACGTGCAAAGTTGTTGTTTCGCTTATCTAAACCAATTGCTTTTTTGCCGTTCTCGTTGCCGTCGCCGTCGTTGTTGCTTAAGCTGCCTGTCAAAGTAGTGCAAAAACGGCAAAGAAATGTACAAAAAGGTGCACTGCACGTGCCGTGCAAAGTGGTTGTTTTGCCTGTTTGTTTGTTTGTTTGTTTGTTTTTTTTCTGACGTTCTCGTTGCCGTTGCGTCGTCGGATCTGCCCAGTTTAATGCTCTGGAAAACCTTTAATATGGTTTATTTAGGATATTGTAATGTATAGCTGTCACTTACCGGGCGGCTTCTGTAATACTCCTCTTGTGAAGAGCTGTCCGACTCGTTGCCTTCATAATCTTCGTCTTCAGTGGCCCACATATCTTCATCAGATGAATATTTGTCCCCCCAGTCTTGCACTTTATCATTTGCTGCTCTTACCTCATTCTCAGTTTTTCCCTTCTGTCGTTTTTCTCCAAGTTCTGAGGTACCAGCGGATCCAGAGGCTTTTTCTGTTTCGTGTTTAACTGCTTCGTCATAAGACGGTGGTGCAATGGTCTTTGTTCACCAGTTGTATAGAAGAAAATGTTGTCAGTTAAAGCATCCAGAAACAAATAATCATTAATGCTATGTTCACCCTATACCGGATAGCTTTTGCGCCGGCAGGAAAATCATACCGGATGGGGCTTTTGTTTACACACAAGAACCGTGATTTCGACGCGATTTCTGTGACGGAGCGAAGCTGAGGCTGCGCCGCGCCGATCTACAAGACTTACTTTGTGTATTGAGAATAGGTATTCGATCCGTAACGGAAGTGAATAAGTCGGAGCGAGAAATAGAAACCACTGTGTCTGAAGTAGATATTTAGGAGTAAGGACTGGAATTTCGTGAATCAACCGCTTCTTCACGATGTTCGATGTGTGTGAACGCTTGCTCCAGTCCCGGGCCGTTGCTGTTCGCTTGTTCAGACTATACCGGATAGGTTTTCGTGCCGATACGTCGGCACGAAATGCTATCCTGTATAGACTGAACTTTGTCTAAATCAATCAATAGCGTATAAAGACGATCCGGGGTGGGGGGATGGAAGGTTTGACTCGGACCCTCCTTTTAGGCGCAGGGCTGAGAAAAGTTATTTTCGAGGCCGGGCACCTCTCTCTAATTTGGATTTTAACCAATCAGGTATCGTTATTATGGATTTCATATGGAAGCACAGTCAACCTGATCGCTTCGTGAACATGTTCTCTGTAGGGGTACTGCTTATGAGGAGAGAAATCGAAATTAGTTTCGAAAACACTTCAAAACCCTGGTTTTCAATTGTGACAAACAATTTCAAATCTCGCTGTTTGTATACTGTCACAGATTTTGCAAGTGCAAGACTTGTTCAGGGGCACCCAACGACGGTTTCCCCCCAAATGCATTGAAAACACTTTTAAAGCTATCCAGAGTACTTTTTGATTTCTAGAAATGCATTTTAAGCGGTGCTATAAGATTGGTATCTGTTCGGTCATCCTAGGACAACTTGAGTCTTCTCGAAATTACACGGGCTTCAGTATTATTTTACCGCCAAAAATTTTAGATGCAATTTAAAGTTTTACGAAAGTAAGAATTTTTCTGATCTCTCTTTCCTCCCTTTGTCTGACTACAAAAATAGCTTAACCTGGGGAGTGAAATGAGAAAAATTAAACTTTAGAAAATCCAAGGGAATTAATTAGATAAGCACCGAAAATAGTACTTGAATGGAACGGTCATCTAGAAATTTTTAGCCTTCCTCCCATAGAAAATTCCAGGCAATTTTTGCTTCTCCGAGCAGATATTTTATAGAAAACAGTCGTTGGGTGCCCCTGATTGTTGTCCGTTTAGTGTCACTCAGTTTATGTTCTCACTACTGATACGTGATAAGTTTTGCGCCGCACGAAAAGGATAGCGCTTCTGATCACAGAAAAGAACGGTGATTTCGACGCAATTTCTGTAACGGAGTTTAGCTGCGCCTCGCGGATCTCTAAAGCGGAGGGTTTTTCGTGCGGGCACGAAAAGGTGAATATAGCCTCATAGCGCGAGTTGATTGTTGTGGTGGAATCTTTTATCTTACCATTTTCATATCAACTGTTGGGCCTTGTGGTGCAACGAACTGGCCGCTGTATGTCTGATGAAAATAGTGTGTGCCATCAGGACCCACAGTAAAATTAACAACATTGTTATAGACAACTGATGGCTGACTTCCGCCTGCAGCCGGGATCCATTGCGGATTAAAGTAATACTGGCCGTAGTAAGATTGATTTGGAAAATGACTCATTGTGTCGACACTCACTTTCTCGTGTTTTATCGGGAAGACGTTGGTTAACGCTTTTTCGCGTTCAAAGTTCTGCGTGCATACGACATCACAATCAGGTCTAAAGCGCGCGCATGTGCAATTAGTAAGGTGTCATTTGCGCGCGCTGTATCAGTGTGAATTTCCTTTCTTTAAGGTGGTTACACGAGACGATTCGTAACAACGATTTTTTAGCGCAACACAGCGTTACAACATTGTTGCTACATTGTTTTGAGTAGTTACAACATTGTTCCAGCATTGCAACGCTGCGTTGCGCCAAAAATCGACGTTGCAAATCGTAAGGTAAATTCCCGCATTTGTCTTGTTCCACAGAGGAAGCTCTCGTGAGCGGACACCCTGAAGACGCGGGAAAAGGTGTCCATAATTGGGGCTGACCGCTTACGGTAATGTAAAAATACAGAGTTTGTTGAGCGTTGAGGAAAACGGGGTTTTAAGTAGAGCTGTCCGCTTACGAGTGTCCGTTGGTACGAAATCTTTCAAGTGTCGTCAAAATGATAACACTTGTTTGTAAAAGGGAAATTTGCATCGGCGATTTCCGGGAAAAGAACTGAGCTAAATTCTTGCCTTTTTTTTTTTTTTCAAACAAGCTGCTCAGCTCTGAAAGGGTCAAGGAGTAATCTATATTTTGAATGAAAGACTCGGAGTCATTATGCCGCCAGTCCTCAGAAGAAATGATTCGTGTGACACCATGTTGACGTAAGACGACACTCTAAATACGCGCGCGTATACTTTCACCGCAGCAGTGTTATACACCAGTTTGCGCGGGCAGGGCTGTACCCTCAGCTAAATGCTAGATTTATATAATAATAATAATTTTTTCTTTTGGGGCGGTGGAATCAGCCATCGAAACCATCAAATAAGGTATAATCACGCTGAATTGTCCAGGTTATGTTCACACAAGACCGTTTAATCTCGTAAACGGAATCTACGGCTCGTGTTCCGAGCGACGGGTTGACTACATGGTAACTTTTAAGGCATCTTCGTATTAACCTGCGATCAGGCGTTTTTTTTATCGCAGGTTATGTTCGCATGTGTAACTCACACAGATACTGAAGGACAATAGCCAATGTCAAGTTTATTAGAGGATGTACGATACAATTTTTAAAACAATCATTATATCAGCACAGTAAAAGTGTGTAAAACTAATAATCCTAACTGTATATAACAATCATTCCTTACAATCTCGTCAAAATAGAATTTTACGTAAGAAATAGAAAACGTTTACACTGCTACGAGTTTAGAGAGATTGCAACTAAAGTGACTGCAAAGCGGTGCCCAGATACTCCTATGAAATATTTTCGCGACCCCATTTTCAATGTCACCTTGCACAATCATAAAACCTTTCTTGGGAAACCCCAAGCCAGATTAGATTTCTCTTGTCCCTCCCTCCAGTCTCCAAGAAGCACATTTCCTGGAAACAGATTTTTGCATTGTAAAAGTGATAGTGATTATGCCGTGCTTAAACATTCATTATCTATCTACAATGAACTAATATCCCCACCTTCACCACCCTATTGCTGACTTTGGTATATCCCGAAATTCTTTGGGGGCCGATTCTGAACAAGCAGTTTTGCATAAATGTACTCTTGTTCTTCTTTGTAACACTACCATGCTTTGAATTAAAACTGTGTATAAATAAATGTTCACGAGATGAATGCCACGAAAATGAAGAGATCTTGTTGACAAGCCAAAGAATTTTTAAAACACTCTGGACTTTTTAAAACAATTATTCTTAGACCTAATTGTTGCCAACAATAAACTTCCTTAACGTCACGTAAGCGATCTTCCCTTGAAATAATGAGCTTTAAGCCCATACAAATTCTTACTGTAATCGTGCCTAAAATAATGTTACGTGCTCTAACTATTTGAGTCTTTAAAGAAATGAAATCTTGAAGTGTGGCCAATGAAATACAAGCTACTCCAAGAGTTATGAACTAAGTGGGGGTTTAAACTCCGTGATTGCTTTAAGTTTAATGCTGACCAGTGACACATACCACTTTCTAAAGTACTGCCGGCTTAACTGCACTTTGCTTGCAGCTAGGAATATTTGACTGGTTTTGAAATACTAATACTAATACTAATATTGTAGTTTCTGTGCTAACTATTCAAGAATCAGTTTTTATCACTGGTTGAACAATGATTTGCATCACTATCACAGTTGCAAAACAGGAAACCTATAAAATCTGCTAGGACCAGAAAAAAAATCTATATATGGTCAGTTTATGACCATACACAACCCCAGAAGAATTTTTCCATTACATACCTTAAAAATCTAGAGTAGTTCAAAAAGGAAGTTTACTATCAATTTAAACCCATATTAACTAAAAGTTAAGGTCAGGTCAATGTGTACTAGTTTTCAGCTCATATTTTTAATATGTAACTACAGTTTCAGAAATAGAAGGTGGCCAATCCTTTCAAATGCCATTCCAGGAGAACGCCCTTTCCAGCGCCATGAATACCTTACTTTGTTCTGAAAGAAACTTATCATTGGGCAGATCAAAATGAAATATATGGACTAAAGAAAACATCTAATACAGTTAAGTTTCCAGTGATTTAAATCATCCCGGATTCTGTAGAAAGATAAAAAATAGCAATCGACGAAGCTTCTTGTACAACCTAAATGTCTAATGTGCAAAAATTATAAAACAACTTCTAGATATTGATTGATGTTTTAATCAAGTGTATCTGTACTGCTCACTTCTCCATTAATCTTTTCCTCTTCGACGGGCTGATTTTGTGATGTTTTGGTCCTTGTCAAAATGTGATCAGAGCAAAGCAGGATCCCATTTCCTACGTCGGTAATTTGACCAGAGGAATGACCTCTGCAGTAAGAGTTTGGGCACTCTGAACACAGAACATTCGCCCATTTGCCACATTCATCACAGAAATGCCAAGGGCAGATCCACTTGCCGCGGACATTAACATCACCACCGAGGCAGCCCTTGTGGTAGCACTTTGAACAGCCTCCCTTGTCACACATCAGAAGCTCGCCACCATCACCACAAATAAAGCAATCGTCTTCATGGACTAAAATGAGAATACAAATCAACTTAGATTGCATTTCTTGTGACTGACATAAGGGTAAAAGCCCTATAACTTTTTAGTTACATGTATTTTGTATCAAACTATCAGTCTAATGGCGTGGAGTCCCGTATCAGTACAGAACCCAATTTGAATACTTCTATCAAAAGCTTCAAAAGGCTGAGTAAACTCATTATTAACTATCATGAACTACCTTTACTTGTAATGAGCTAAGCAGTGCATCAGATCTTAGATTTATTATAATTGAATTAAAGTACGGTGAAACTTGTATTTTAAGTCTTGAGTAATTGAGATTTCTTAGAATATATAATAGAGACTTTATTCCTAAGTACTGGCTTACACCAAGGCCAATAAAGAAAAAATAGAATAAATATATTACAATAAGTAATGCTATATCAAATCAAATCAATATTCTATTCCATACGAAAATCATTTAAAATATGTACATATTTAAAACAACTAATAGCTCAAATATTTGCTAGCGCACAAGGTAATGGTAGGAAAGGTATGGGAAGACACGGGGTGATCTTTATCATGGGTTCTTAAGTATGTGACACCCTCTCACAATTTATAATAATTCTTCTTTATCTATCGCCTATTGTGTTTTATTTTATCATTTATATACCACTGCATTATTAAGGATTGAATGTACAGAATAAAGTTGTTTTTTTTTTAAACAATGTGCAACAGCACTTCAGTCAGATAAAATATCTTACAATTAAATTTACACTTAATTTGGCCAACTAGCTCATTTATTTAGTTTCTTTAAAGAATGAAATTTAAAACATACATATCACACCTTGTTTAGACATTATTACTTAAGGACAACCCTGGTTGCAGAGGGCTATATGTCCATGGCAATGCGCTATTGAGAGGAGAGGTGCCTGTGAGCTTTATTGCCTGGTCAGTGGTGTTACAACTGGTGCCATGCTCATTAAAGACTTCATGTTGAACAGCTGGCAGAGGAGGGGGACGCTTGCGATGTTCAGATGACACTGGCAGATCTGAGGCCAAACGGAAATGTTTGCTTCAGTAATGTACACTTGTTTTAGCTTTTATCACTAAAGAAGCAACTTTGAAAAGCGTAGCTTTATACAGCACAGTGTTAGGCATTCGTATTTAGGCAATTACAGTTTAACGAGAAATATCCATTACTTATAATTTTAAACTGAAAGTCACAGCTTATTGTTAACTTTGAGCTGCTTAACTCATTGCTTTTGGTCTTTAAAGCAGAATAAAGGATTCAATACTAAATTACTTTATGGTAAAATAAAAATGTTGCATTTTCAATATTGAAGCTTGAGCACATTTTGTTAAAAAAGCGCATTTTTATTACATTATTGCACTCAACATTTTCTGAGGATATTGTCAAACTGGTGAACTTACACAATAGGACAGCGGGGGAAAGACGACTGCAAACCTTTTCTAAAAAGTGTAAGAATAATTATATTCAAAAAAAATTTTCCACAAGACTTTACCTTCCTTTTGACAGACCTATTTGTAAAAGACCAGGGCCGGGTTGTTCGAAGCTGGGTTAAGATAACCTTGGGTTAGTGCGAAATTTGACCTCAAATATGAGAGCTTATAAAGCAAATTCAGTTTAATTCACTTTGCCTTCAATTTGATGATTGGATACTTTAAAAAGAATAGATAAAATTATCCGATAGAGTGCTCTTGGTAGAAAGAAAAAGAAACCAGGGTTAAAATTTAACCCCGAGTTAGCACTAACCGGTGTTGGAACAACTGGGCCCAGAACACAATAATGTTAAGTGAAGATCACAAAAAAACTTGCAAATAATAGCCCTAATAGTTTGTCATACACAAGCATTTCACCGTCCTAGTCTTTCTGCTGTCCCGTTGCGTAAGCTCACTGATGACTTTCAGTAAAACTGCCCCCACATGCAAAAGAAACATCCATTTACCTTCTTTGACAACAGTTTTCTTGATTCGTTTCTTCTTTCTTTTATCTACTGGTTTTTTAGATTTTTCCTCTTGGACCTGGTTCTTGGGTCTCACTCCAAGAAAACTGCTGCAGTTTTTAGCTCCACAGTGGCATTTCTTCTTCTCGTTTCCTGATAAAATATTCAGACATTGACAGTTTAAGATGGAATCCATCAGGAAATTGAGTAATTTTAATTTTCAGTGGACAAAATCCGAAACAATATCGCATTCTTCTTTACATTTTTCATAGGCTATAGATATAATTAGTTATCTGTAATAACACCAAAGACTATTTCTCATGGGAGGCCGAAAAAATAAATGTCAAATTTCACAATAATTGTGAAAACACAGCTAAAATACTGAAAATTTCATCTGTAAGGTGTCATTTTGTGAAATTTGACATTATTTTATTTCCTCGTGCTCTCATAAAAAAATTTTCTTTGGTGTCATTACAGATAACTAATTACATCCATAGCCCTTGAAAAATGTAAAAAGAATGCGATATCATTTAAATTATTCTGGTGCAAGGTTTTTGTCCACTTAACATTAAGATTACTCAATTTGCTGATGGATTCCACCTTAATAATGCTGATGGATTCCATCTTAATAATTATCATCCTCCCATTAGTTGTTCAATTATTTGATACACTCTAGTCAAGACATCATGTCATCTGACCATTAATTTCACCACAGTAGGCCGGGAGGCTATAAAAGGCAGTTGCCCACTGCTAATAACAGGTCTAAGCTTACTGGTCATTTGCAGCAGTTCACACAATTTGAGACTAAGTAGGTCAATCCCACTGTACAGTATCATTCTCAAATTATTTACAGTATACATCACTGAACACACCTCCCTTATTTTATAAGCTCTGAAAACTGTCTCATTCACTATACCACCTGCCCCCTCCTGCAATTTTGATCCCAAATAATTATGTGAATGTGGCTCCAGACATTACATGTAGTCTTACTTGAAGTACAGGCCAACAGCAGTTGCTTTCATGATTATGATAACAAAACTAATCTTTGTTTGTGGTGAGAGATGTACAAAGTTAAAATGATGCCAGAAACTGTACTATGAAGTTTCCAAAAAAAGGGGGGGGTGGGTTAAATTCCAGACCATGGCACAAAAGAAAGGCGATTGGGAGATTTGGTGACCCGTACAGCTGACTGGGAGTGCAGGAAAAACCTTTTTTAGTCCAAGTCTTAAACTATGTCCTCATGTTACCCATCAAATCCCTTTCCGCTTGACAAGAAAGAAAAGCAATCAAAGTGACTTTTCATTCAGTCAGTAAGTTCACATTGACAAACAGTGACATTTATGAAATGAATACTGCCATGATTGAGCACTCAGTGATACAGTGGCAGCTCTCATAAGCAGACACACTCGGGAGGCAAAAAAGGGTGCTGTCTCATAGCAGCAAGAACTATTTGTCAGTGTTTGGCTATACCGTTGGTCTGACAGTGACATTAATTTTTAGTCCTAAGCAGAAAATTCAAGTGGTGGTTTGAAGTGTAACTGAACGTATAACATGTCTGAAACTGATATAAATTCATTTTGACGAACAGTTGACCTGTTAAACTTAATCTATTAAAATACAAGACTCAGAGGCGAATGAGAGTTCATTTCAGGTGTTCACTCACGGAAGCTTGCCCTGGGTATCAAAGACTTTTTATGTGCCATTTCTGGTTGCAGTCAAGTCTCTTCTCTCGGTTTGGTCCAGATTTTGGACACGACAGCTGATTGCCTTCTAAGAACCACCTAAGGAACTTTGAATCTAACAGACGCTACGATTGGTTGACAAGAATGGGACACCAAATGAAAGATATTTCAAACAGTGTTGTTTACATTAGGATAACAATGTACTCTGGTCTTGCGATGCTGAAAGTTTCGAAACTGTAATGACAGAAAGAACCAGCAAAAGACAATGGGCAATGGAGAGGAGTAGTGATCGAATGAAGCGCAAGGCAAACAACTGACATGTTCCATTTTATGGTCTCAGCTAGGATGTTCTGGCTGTCTTGTAGACTGGGAATGGAATGGCATTGTTGTTACAGCTCTCCTGCTGAATATTGCTGGACTATGCGTGCGATTTAATCAAGTGGGATCAGTGAGTATCCCAAAAGTACTCCAGTAACTTTTGCTTATATGGCTGATGCACTTATTCTGAAATCGTACGCTTAAGACTTTATGCTAGAAATGTAATTATGTTGTTCATGCTAGAAATGTAAACTTACAAATTTGCAAATTATATTACATTGAGAGTTTTGAGAGTTGTCAAAATTATTACTCTTTTGTTTGTTTATTGAAAACTCATTTGCAGCATTACTTCATGCGCCAGTCCTTATGATCAGAGTTGGAGACGTCCGATCTCACTGGTTCAAATGCAATCCAAAAAAAGCTCAAAGTTCAACAGGGACAGTAAATGGCATTGCTCCATACCAGAGGTTTTTTCTCGTTGCTTTGCCTCTTGTGACTTCAACCTGTGGCTGACACTGAAGCATCCTGCCGCATGCGAGAAAAAGACCTCTGGTACCCAGGGTAACAGGAGTTTAAAACTAACTTGTAAACCCTGAAAGTGTCCATGGCCACTTATGGGAATGTAAAAATAGAGAATTTGTACAAGAGCTGAAACACAGTTTTGTGAAGGTGGCCATAAGTACATGTAGAGCTGTCTGTTGAGAGAACTTCCACTGTATCTGTAAAATTTGGCAAATTGTTAACTAGTCAGGATTATTTTTTTTTCTCACTGTATGAGCAGCCCAACTGTGGTTGTATTAACAGGGTCTCGCTGTATTTCAACAAAAGGAACCCATGTTACCTTTACTCACCTAAACAATCCAGCTGATAGTCAAAAGTCAGTTCCTCTCCGTCCTTGATGTCTCGTGAAGCAAACAGTCCAACCCTGACTTCTCCATTAACTGTCCACTTCTGGGTCTCACAATTGGGATCACAACTATGGTTCATAAAGCGTGAGAGATTGCCCATTGGACCTGCGTCTATGATGCAATCTTTATCTATTGTCAACATGTAATAGTTGGTCACGTCTTCACCTTTTCGCACACGTTCTTGGCAAGTGGCTTCATCAATAAGTTCTCCTACATACTCGATAACAAATTGACCTTTCTTGACATCTGAAATAAGTAAACAGAGGGTTTATGAGTGTTATTAGTACACTGGACAAAACTATTCTGGATTGATGTTTCACTATACAAAAATAAAACAAGCCAAGGAACCTTACGGATATTTTTGTCCTCTAAACTTTATTAAATTCCACACATGGAAAAATAGTTTCATGGTTATCATGTAAGGAGGACTTGCGTTACAGCATATCCAAACTTGATAATGAAATCACAAAGGTCGGCAAAATCACAATTTCTATGAAAAACAAATCATTTTTTTCACTAACCACACTGAAAACGAAGTGTTGTTATGTTAAGAATATCACCCCCAAATAAATCTTACCATGAAGACAACTTGGACCAAGTTATTGACATGCAGTACTGTATCCTTTTTGATACATCACCGTTTTTGAGAGTCAGAGATTCAAGTTGTTATGCTACCACCGAAGCAAACGCAACAAGCCATAAGGCAAATCCAACAGAGTTGTTTCAAGCTGTTGTGCGAAAAAAGTGAGAAAATGGCAAGCTCCTGGGAGAAGAGCCCAGAAATATGGTCCACCAAAACATGAACACGATATATTCTTAACACAGCACTTTGTTTTCAGTGAAAGAAATCATGTGATTTTGCATGCCTATGTGATTCTGTTACCAAGTTTGTATATGCCTTAATACAATTCCTCCTTGCATGATCAACATAAAAATATTTTTCCATGTGTGGAAGTTAATAAAGTTCAAAAGAGATAAAGTATAATCGAGGTTCCTTTTCTTGTTCCATTCTTGTATAGTAAAAAGTCAATCCAGAACAATTTTGTCCAGTGCACTATTAACGGATAAATCAACATGACTTGTGGTAACAAGGTTATCAGGAACTAACAGAGTTTTATTTACAGTTCCTGTGGTTAGAATTTTGATAAAATTTGTGACACAGCTCCTTTAAGCAACTGCCATTAATTGTTTTAGAAAAATCTTGAGAGGCTATGTCCAGCAATTCAGTCACAAGAAAACTGAAGAGTTTGTATCATTACAATTACAATCACAGAGACCACTCACCCTGTTTGCATCTTAATCCCCATCCACGATGCAATGTTCTAAACGCCTCACAATCCACATACTGCCTTTTTTGAAATCTCTGATTATTACAGTTTTCCTTTGATGGGCATGTTTGAGGATTGCACTCAAACTGAAGCATGCGATTCAGGCAGTTGGAGTCCGCAGCACAGATATTCTCACTATCTGCGGTGCAGTCACAGATAGGCAGTTCTGAAGGATCAATCAGAATGCGTACGGCTGTCGTGCACTTGTTTACCTAACATAAGAATGACAATTGTCATAACTGCAGAGAAGTTGCAACAAAAAAGCCTATGTATGAAGTACAACATATAACCTTGGTGTTTTGTATCTGACATAATGTCAAATCTTAACAAAAATTATTTACAATATAGTTAACTTTCTTTTTGACAGACACACCACTTAATAAAATGAAGAGGAAAGGAAAATGCTTTGCTCTGTTATCAAATTCTCTCAGCAAATTCTTTAACCTAAGGAAATGTATGGAGACTACCGTGGACAATTCATATAATTTAAGTTGCGACAGTGCTGGCCAACTGTTTCCCTCATCAGTAATATGCGGGGCTGCCCTAATCACATCGCAGGGGTTCACGGGTCTTTTTACAGCCGTTGTCTTGAGGCTGGGTCATTATGTTTGTGTGTCGTTGCTGATTGTTGCTAGTGTTTTTCTGCCCCCTACCCTCCCCCCCCCCCCCTGACTGATGTCTGGCCTCTTAAAATAGGGAGCTTAAGCAATGATGACGGCGACACAAAAAAAGCAACAGGTTTGATTAGCAACACAACTTTGCACGTGCATCACGCTTTTTTGTACATTTCTTTGCTGTTGTTGCAAGACTACGATGTAAAAGTGCCCAAATTCACATTTTGTCAAGGACAGGAACAGAAGACAACAACTGTCTTTTTCTTTTCCTGAACTTTGATACAGTCCTTTAGAATTCAACTCCAGAAACAATTGCCAACATTTGACGAAGTAAACGAGGCGGAGTAAGTGCGATAAATTTGAAGCAGTGTGAATTCACTTTTTGAGTCATGTTTTCGTAGCTGTCGCCGTTGTTGTTGCTAAAACTCTCTACTAATTTTCAGAGGCAAGACATCAGTCAGCAACAAGTTTATTAATTACTAAGATAAAACCAAAGGCTGTGCTCTAAGAAAAATTAAAGGGCTCTGAACTTGTGAAATCCAGTGTGCCCAGCATATGATTTCTATGCAAAAGCAAAGATTTTCTCGTTGCCCAAGAACAAAAGTTAGGCACCATGGGCCTCCGGGCTCTGCTAGAGCACAGCCTTGAAACCTATACATATTAATATGTACTTCCGAAGAGCATCTCAGCCCAATCAACCACTACATTAAAAAATATAAATAATTTAAAACTATAAATTGGTCATGGATAATAAAAGATGAATCTAGTTAGCATCTCAGCTAATCTAAAATAATATTTTACATTTTATTTTTTAAATTGTGGAAACATGTTGAAAGCTTCAAGGCAAGGAGAATGTGTGTGCAGCAATGAATGAATGATTTTGTTGTTTGCATATGTATGTACGTCGAACGACTGAAAGTAAACAAAAGAATGAATTGAATGAAAGGATGTGGTATTTACTTGAAGCCCTCTACAACACATTTCCTAACGTTCGCTCTTCCTCCTGAGGTTGCATAAACTCTGCAATGGGAACTGCAGGTAATGGTTCGCAGGAGGGGAAAATTAATACAGTCGAACCTCCACAAACAGATACCTCTCTACAACGGCCATTTTTTTAGTCCCGGCAGACAGCCCTTACATTGTCTCTTGTTTAAACCTCACTACAACAGTAAAGGCCACTAAAGCGTGTCCCCAACCCGCAAAATAACCTCTTGACAATGACCAGTTTTTTCAGTGACTGATGAAGGAGTCAAAAATAGCCAAGAAATTTGATCTGTATGGTGTGCTGATGATGAATTTCAGCTATCATTATTTTGATTGTGTTGAATTTATACTATGCAGTAAATTGTCTACCATACTTAAAGCAAATGTTGCTAACCTTGCTTGTTTTGTCCTGTTAACATTTGATTCAAAACATTACTTGATTAAATGCTCCCAGCATTATTTTATCTAAAAGTCCACAGTTACGACCTGAAATTTTTTCAAGCTGGTGTTAAATCGGGGTTCAGAGTTTATTAATGAAATGCAATTTCCTGTCCTTTTTTCAGGTTGATTTATTATTACCAATCCTCAGGGACATTTTACCACATGAAACAGAAAGCTCCATGAAATCTAAATGTTAGACGTGGAGTGGCAAAAGTTAAGATTTACTCAGTCGGAGTTTACAATACTACCTGATTGAATTAGAGTACTCCCGGTTTGATTTTCAAAGGCGCAGTTAAACCCTGCATGTAGAAACCTACAGGTTTCCAACCTAGCCTGAAAAGGTGGCACTTTCCTGAAGTCATAAGGCAGACGTTAAGGTTTTAAACTTACAGTGTGACCATTGTAACTGGGGCTACTTAGACAAAGTTGAACAACTGGATTACGGGAAAATAATGATACAGTCCAAGAAAGGTGGTTGTGGGCCAATCAGCAGCTTGTAAGAAAACAATAAGTTACTCGAAGCACAAAGTTTAAATATTGATAGCAAACGTTTTTCAAGAGAGCAAACTGTTTCACCAGACTGAGACAATGTTTTTCTATTTGAAACTTACATACACATGTAAACACAAAGAGGCACAATTAGCTCTTATAATATTTGGTCATCTGCCAGCAATTTCTTCGCTATCATTGCCACAGTTGAAAATATGATAAACATTTACATTTTTTGCCTCTTTCTTCAGCAGATTCAAAAGGTCACCTCTGTAGATTGTGTTTGGTTGGTTTTAATCCATGTAACTAGTTTGTTTTGTTTCATGGTAATTATGATTGACAACTAACTTTCTCGGAATGTATTGTCCTTTTCCTGTAATCTGATTGGTCAACTTTGTCTAGGTGGCCCTGGTTATAGTAGTCGCATTGCAACATGGAAAATAACATAACTTAAACTAACCCTGATGTGTTTATATGGGGCTGGTTTTTTGGACATCTTTTGAAGATCTTGCTCTGCTTTGTTTTCTTGTTCTATTCTCCACTCGCTGTACTTCTCCTTCGCTTCAACAAGTGCTGAAAAAGGGCATGATAAGTAAGTAATAAGCCCCTATAGTTTCAATTTGAGCTTCCTGCTTCCTTCCCAGAAAAATATCTCTAATTCTTTTACTTCTGTAATTTACGCCACTTTTAGCCTTCAACTAATTTCTTACTTTTAACACACATTCCAAATGAACTATGAATATATTCCAATTAAATGGGCTTTTGTTCTTGATGGCAACTACAGTATTTTTATGAAAATTAATTTGTGAGTCCTAACCTGACTTGTGGTTGTCGAATTCAAATGCTTGAGAACAACACACAAGTATTACGTGCCAAGGGTATGGTGCTATGTGATTGTCAAGTCTTGTACAGTTGTACAACCAAAAAAAATTATTTTTTCACTAGTACACTCACCCCTTTTGAAAATTTTGGCCAGATTCTTGTTGGTACCAGAGTCTGTTGATCCTTTGTCACCTTCCTGATAACTAAATACACGACCTCTGTGAATCCAGTAATAATCATGTGACCCAAGAAACTGAACAGGAAACTCGCCAGGCTGATGACGCATGTTTTGAATGTTTGTTGGGACATCGCGTGGATTACAGATCTGTGCTGGCCACCATCTACAGATATGCATAAAACAACTCTTAATGAACTTACGAAAATAGCCACAGAATTAGACAGTATAGAAGTTAACAGTAGTTGTCATATTTCTTTGATTGAAAACTGGGGAGTTAATAAATTTTTAGAATTTTTGATGCATCATGACACATTATTTTGAAATCACATTTATTAAACCACTGACAATAATTATGATCAATCATTTGCAAATGTTAGGTAAAACAGGAGGTTGTTTAAAGTTCTAATATCTTGCTTTACATATTAGATAGACTCTTAATTGTCTGGATGTTGTTTTACCTACATTTTTCTTATTATCATCAAACAAACCCCACACTCTGTTTATTTTAGGGTGGTGCTCATTGATAAGTTTGCTTCAATCTGCAGCGTTAAAACGAGGGCAGCAGTCAAGTTAATACAGTAATTGCAAGTATTTTTCTTATATACTTTAAGGGGCATTTGTGCTGAACTTGGACAAGCCAAATCAAGTAAGATGGTTTAAGTCCCCAGAAAGTTATCACTCAAATTTACAAACAAAAAAAACTTTCAAAAGCTAACCAGAAGAAAAGTTTTACAGACTACTCATAAAAATTTTCTTAATCTTCCCCAAATTGACCATTTACAGCTTTTGTTTTAAATTGTTCCTTCCTCTCTTTACAAGTTTACAGCAACAACAACAATCATTGTTGTACCAGCAACACAACTTTACAACGGAACTAAGTACAACTAATGCATAAACAATGTCCTGGCTGTCTGGAATAACCACAGGGCTAAAACAACCAGACAGCCATTGCCTTTGCAATTAAATATTTAGAACTATCTTAATCGTCACAAAAGACAATAATATTACGCAAGCGATTTCAATATATAAGCACATGGAAACTGTCAAGCAAAAATACAAAGTGCTTCTCGTACTTCTTTTAACAATTCCAAGAGCTCATACACTGTACCTCAACAATGCAGGTGGAATAAAATTATCGTCTTTTTATTTCTTTCATAAAACATCCCATAAATTGAGCTTACTGAATTTGTGACATAGGATGCATTCATATAGTATGTCCATATAACTGTAGCCACCCATGACGCAGTGCATATGATAAACACCCGCTAATAACAACCTGTGGATTAAGAACCTCCTGGCACAAATTTGGCATTTTAATACCCCAAAATATAAGAACACATTTAGCCAAGTAACATCAAGCAGGTTCTTTGATGTGGATTACAGTTAAATTATCATAAACAATTTCACTTTGAGTTGTAAATTTAAGTATAACAAGAACATACTGTGCTTAACGGTATATAAATTTGATAGTCAGTCTTGTTAGGGTTATAATACAATTGTGAATAAATTAAAAGTTCGTGTACTTTTCTGGTAATCAACAATCTATTACAGTTGACTCCCGATAATTTGAACCTTCAAGGGAAATAGAAAAAAGCCTAAGTTATCGGGAGTTCAAGTTATCAAGAGTAAAATTATACAGAAAACCATCCGAAGAGAAATGTAAATTGCTTGGAGTTAGTGGGAGGTTCGAGTTATAGAGGGTTCAAGTTACCGGGATTCGACTGTATCTCCTTCTTAAAAATTAAGAACCTACTTAGCCTAAACTGTCAATAAGTACTCCAAAATAAAAGAACCTATTTTGCTACACTACAAAAAAGTAGGTTCTTATTAGCGGGTGTTTACTGTTCTTTATGGACATAGGAATACTTCTGACCAATCAAAGCATACACAGTTCTTTGAACATTATATAATTCACTATTGTTACCTGTACATTCCTAGTTTAACCCAGACAATGTCTCCATAAAGAAGCTGCTTGCCTTCAGTGCAGTCTTTACAAAAGAAATGTCCTTCAGGAATCCCTTCATAACTGATGCATTCAGGATGAAATGCAGCAGGGCAGCTCTCGCAACAAATCAGTGTGCCACCAATGGAACACACAAAACACCAGTTTACGTTGACATGAGTATGGTGAGCCTTGTTTTTCTCACGTAAAAAGTGCTTTGCACATACCATCAGCTGCGAACTTACAGGAATACATCCCGCGACAAGGCAACCTGAGACGTGATAGGCTGTTGGGCAACGTACACAACGGATCATTCGTTTTCTAGTGACAGCAGACTTGTTAGACACACATGTACCACAGAAATGAAGTGGGCAGAAAAAGCGATCGCCATCAAATTTAGCAGTCTTAAAAATTCTCAAACATTCGTCATGATAAAATTTAGTACAAAGTGGTTGACAGCATTGCTTAACATTCCCAGTCTGTCGACAGACAAAGCAACAGTGATTGCCAGTTACACATTCATCACAGATAAACTTCCCTTTAGGAACAACAGAAAGCCCGATGCAATCCAAATGAAAAGCATTTCCACAGATTCCCTCACAGTGAGTTAGGTTTTCTTGCTGCTCACAAACAACACAAACAGCATCTTTTTCCTTTTTGGCCACTGTACCATTCTTTATACTGCCTGTATCATCACTTGAGGAAGTCACACTTCCTTCAATTTCAATAGTACTACTCAGTTCAGAAGGTTCACTGCTTCTCTCCTCAACTTTTATCTTTTTACATTTTGGCTCAACATTTTCCATTTTTTCCACCTTGTGGTTTTTTGGATCAACAACTTCCATTTGTGCTTCTTTTTTACTTTTAACCTCAACAGTTTCTGCCTTTTTCACCTTTTTAGTTTTTGCCTCGACATCACCCTCATCTTTTACGTTTTTGCTATTGCAACTAGCTTTCTTCTTCTCCTTCACAGCTGTTGAATCTTTTTTCATCAATATTGCCACTTCTTGTGCACTCAATACTTTGCTGGAGGGTTTACGGATGCGTTTCTTCGTCAATATCGATTCACCATTTCTTAACTCATCAGAGTCTAGCATGGAGTCCTTGCCACTAGAAGAACTCTGCTTACTTTTAACTTTGTCTGGTGATTCAGACAAACTTTCAACTTCCATACTGCTCTCACTCTCACTGACAATAACAAAATGCGGCTTACGAGGCCGTCCTCTCTTTCGCTTTCCTTCTTTTTGGGTTTGCTCTGGTGTGATTTTTCTGATCTTTAACTTCAAAGCAGTATTGGGTGAAACTTCCATGTTTGCTCCATAAGCACAAATATCACCATTTAATCTAGGAGGAGTTGAACTAGCTTTACTACTACATACGCCATTACACTTGCCATGCAAGTCTGAATTAAAATCCATTTTGTTTCCCATGTTTAGGTTGATTGGTATGTCAAATCTGTCACTGGTAACCTCCACAGTTGATTCAACAGGGTCAATCTCACTGCTTTGCTTTTTGGCAGTTTGTTTTTTCCTTTTCTTGGGAGGTTCTGAAGCCTTAGAAGCTTCTACATGATTCGGAAACAACTTCGAAGTCCCCGCTATAGAACTTAGTTTCCTTTTCCTCTGTGTCTTCTCATTAGTAGTTTTCCGCTGGTCAGTTTTCACACTGCTGTTGGCAACCCCAACTCCATTAACAGCCTTGACTTCCGAAACCACACTTTCAACATTGCCGACACCACTTGTTTTAGTTTCATGATTTTCAGCTACCCCATTCATTTGTTGAGCTACGGACATAACACTCAAACCATTCAACTTCTTCAATTTCAAAGGTTCTGTTCGTTTTGCCTCATTCTTGTCATAGTACTTGAATGTATAACATAGTTGCCGTTCATGTCTGTTCATTGGTTTTGCTTTTTCAGCTACTTTGACTGCAGCTTCCCACTGTGCCACACGCTTCTGTGCAATTTTGAGCTGTTTGCCTTGAGAGCTCTCGAAGTTTTCTCGACCTGTGGTGTAAATAAAGTAAGACACAATTTAACAAAACTCACTACTTATTCCTACAGTCAACAGTAACACAGAGATTAATCTGTTCATCTCAGAAAGTAGGGATGTCACGTAAGTGAAAGGCACCTACAAATATGAGCATGTGATTTGGGAAAAGGGGGCGATGACCTTTCCTATCCCTGGTTTCCTCCTGTTTTATTTTCATGTTTGCGCTTTCTCACTCTCATGGACCCCACTATCTGGGAGCCTGGAAAAGGGCTATGGAAAGAGGAATAGCAAATCTACATGCAAGGTTGTGCTCTACGAAACATTGAAGGCAGCCCAATAGTCTGAACCCATGAAATCCAGGGTGCACAGCATATGATTTCTATTGAAAAACTAAGATTTCCTAGTCACCCAAAAGCAAAAGTAAGGTGCCAGGAGCCACCGGGCTCTGCTACAGCACAGCCCTGTACATGTCGCTTTTGAGTCTATGGAAAAAATCCTTAAACCTGACCATTCATTTGAATGAAAAGGCTTGACCAGCACTTCATTTTTAAAATACTTATTGGTTTAATTTTAGTTTTATCACACTAGGAAACTGCAGTTCTCTACAAGTAAGCTACAAGGCTGCTCCATAACGTGCGGGCACCAGAGGCACCTACAATTTACCCTCTGGCGACCAAAATTTTCAACAGGGAGCCTGAACAGGCGCCCAAAACTTATGATTGTCAGGCTAACTTCCGTTAAACAGACAACAAAATTCCCTGCTCATTCTACACTTTTGAAACGCAAATGGAAAACGTTTGGTCATTGGCCATAGGCGAAAGAATATTCCCCTGATAAAAGGTAAACAAACAAGCACTTCTCTTGAACTTCTGCTGCACTGCAGTTGCAATTTCTTGTCAAAAATGGCGTCGAACGAATTCAATAGTCTTTGAGAAACCTTTGATATTGAAAACATGACTTTTCCATCAGCGTTAGAAATGTTAGGTTGCTATAATGAAGTAAAAACTGATTAAAAGTCGCGATCTGTGGAAAAGCAAGAGGTTTCAAATTACACGTGACAAGCGTAAAATTCCAAGTTTGTAGCATCTGCTATCTTGCTATGAACAAGAACACTACACTCGGTGGTTTCTTTTATCATTTATTCTATTTTTTGCTGTACATTTTGTGGTAACTTTTGAAAGGCTCACAAAAACATTCCAGTTTTTGAAATGATTCGGGTGGCTATTCAAGATCATATTTCAATCTCTTTTTAATTTACCCTGTCGAGGTTAGCGCATGTAAATACAAACCTTTACAAATAAAAACAGTTTCGATAGTTCAAAGGATAGACTTGATACAAAAATACTGAGTCAATTTTCCAAACTTCAAGACAAAAAACCTTTCGTTGGTCCTTTTTTATCGCCTAAAAACTTATTAACTTCACTTAAATTGTACACGCAAATGCTGTTGGTCAGTGCGTTCACTGTACATGCAAATATTGTAACGTTTCTCTCAAAATAAATCATTTCTCGAAATCCCTTCAAATCGTAAAGATAAAAAATGCTGGTTTCTTGAAACTTGCGTTTCAAAACTTGATTCATTCAAGTCTTGATTGTTTTGTCTCGTCACGCAACGCTCCTTAGTGTTGTGTGATGGGTCAAAAGGGAGACCAAGGGTTTCGAGAAGAGTGAATCAGGTTTCGAGGATCTGGTCGAGACTGTCAACCTAAAGATACAGACACTATCAATGGGGTCATTCTGGGGAACTAATTAAACTAAGTTTTAGATACAGGGTTCTGTTCTTGAAATGCAATGAAGTTAATGAAAATATTATGAGACATTTAAAAATGATCGTAAAGAACGCCTAAAACATGCAAGATTTCCCGCCTTGACAACCCACTCAGGTAAATTGTTCCATTCTCTTACAATTCTCACAAAAAAATGAATATTTGTAACAATTACAACTAGATGCTTGAATCTTCAACTTGTAATTAAGATTACTTCGTGCTCGTTTTGATGCTAACTGGAAAAAGTCTTGAAATTTGAGATTACTTAAAGAAAAATAATGTACATTTATAACACTCTCGATCAGAAAAAACTACTGTCTTTGATTCTTTAATGGTGACTACTTTAAAATAAAACAACGTTTCTTGTAGTCCATTTCGCCCATATTGTGGACCATATCAATCAACCAATTAGTGCACCAGTTGTTGTGTGCTAGAACTTTGACATATTTAATAAAGTCACTGAGTTTTTTTTAACTGAGCTCCTCGAAATGTGGCAAAAAGGGCTCCCAAAAAATTTTCTTAGGTAGCACTTGAAGCTAAACCAGAAAGCCATGTTAAATCAATAATCCACTACAGGATAACCTGCAAAACATTTTCTTTGAAGGCTGGTTTCATATATCACTAAGACTGCTGCTATTGCTACAGAATAAGTTGAGCAATCCTTTCCAATGTATTACCGACAGATTTCTAAAAAATTCACTGTATTAATAAACCGATAAATAGGCATGCAAACAAAACAATAAAACTGTTAGAATTTTGTAACAAATCTTGAAGACTTCTCTTTCATTAACAAAGAGTAATCTGCTACTGAAATCTACTTTTTGATCTAAAGAATGTTGCAAAACTATTATTTGGATTATTTTTATCATACTCTTTTTAAATATAGCTGTTTTAAATGTTAATAGAAAAGGTCATTTGTTGTGCTGGATAAAATTATAAATATCAAGCCCTTTTCACCACAATTTACTCGCCAGTCACAAAACGAGGTACGGTAGACAATAATTTATTTACATCACATTTCTAGGGCATAAATGCTGAAATTCAACACTGAATTGAACAAAAGATACTGGTAACATGAAAGCACAGGAGCAGCAATGTTTTTGTTTTTAATTCAAAACCTACAATACAAGTAGCAAATTAAAAATTAATGGAAATCTAGAGGTTTGTCTGGGAGATCAAGCAAAGTAGTGCATATCCACATCAGACTTTTAACAATATTACTTATGATGCTTGCAAAAGGTTTTAAGTCAAATATTGACAATTGGATCATAAAAGAAAGACTATTTAATTTTCTGTCCAGGATGATCAATTTCAATCTTGGGAATAGCCGGGCAGTAAAAAATAAAATAAGAATTGGGAAAGATACCAAGAAATAATGTGCTATGATTTTCACATGCTGGCATAATAAATTGTGAGATTGTAAAAACTTTTTAAAACAAAATCAGTCAAAGTTATATTACCTGATAAATTTAATAAAAATGTAACATATAGACAGAAAGCCAAAACTGAGCTTAATTCAATGCAACTTAGGCAGCTGAATCCTGACACAAATATTCATGACATAAAGTGTCTTTCTGCCAGAATGAATAATAATGATAATTTTGACAAATGTGCTGCTTTTTGGAAAAAAAACACCTTTCAAGCAAAACAAAATTAAGTCGAATGAAGAGATTCACGAAAAAAATCCTATCATCGGCGTGCATAAGGGCACATTGGTAACATTCGGACTTTTCCTTCCCAAGCAGCTGTCCTGTTTTTGATGATCATGCGCCTGAAGACTGGTGAATCTTAGCATGGCGAAGCGCCAAAACATATTGAAAAGACTCAAGTACACCCAACATATTTACATAACCAAGTTACGATCCAAAAACAGGGATCTGCGGCCTGAGAACTTCATAATGCTATTCAATACGCGATAAGTGAAATTCAAATGAAATTGGACACATTTTGGCGATATTTTCCAATCGTTTTCGTTGTCGGTTGGCGACTTACTTGTTTTGAATGAAATTTAGATAAACATGGCGGGACAAAATGTATTTTTGAACACACAACGCGCAAGTGATTACATCGCCGCCGATTCCTCATGCTACAGAAAGAAATTGTGCCTTTAATTACGACACCTAGCAGGACAGTGTGTTAAAGTTAATCCCGCAATTATAGATAAAACTTGCGAGATTTAATACCCGAGTATTCGCCCAACATGAGCTTATCACTTTCTCCTTTAGTCCGTAGTGCACGCAAGAATGGCCCTCACCTTCAAATTTTAAAATCGATCTTTCAGCGACCCAGCCTCTCACAGGATCCTGTCCAAAAAACTGCACATGATAAAATCTAGCTCTTCCCTTATACTTGAAGGACACCGCAGTGTTTGGGTCGTAAGAAACCATCGAAGGCCACCAAGGATGGCCTGGGATTTTCGACCACACTACATCTCCGACGAGCCATGAAGCTGAGTTGTTACTCTGGTTCGGACTTGTTGAAACTTTCGAATCCTTCGCGTGGGGACTCTCCGAAAGTTCCGACGAACTGGCTTCATCTTTGGACTCTACTGCTGCCATCCAAATAGACGGCAGAGTAAAAATCCACGCAATAAATTTAGGTTAAAGCAGCACTTCACTCTCGTCGCGGGCTAAATCTTCAAAGCGTTGCAGTCGAACAACGGTTCTGTCATTCTGATTGGTTCTCGCAATACACATGGCTCAAAATTGGCGGTCGCCGAATGGTTGCCGAATATTGGTCGACAATTTTGGTAAATCAACCGAGTAAACCCGAGAATTGCCGAAGATCAGTCAGATTCAAGCGACCACCCATATCGATTTAGCAACGCAGACGTATTTTAATTCCACCCCCGAAAAGTCGATAATAATTTAAAAATGGTTTTAAAAATCGAAAAATAAATAAAAAATGAACCTTTGTGGTTTCCACTAACCCAGTTGTGGCCCCTCGCCTCTCTCCGCAGGCCAAAGATTAGCCTGCGTATTCTGGTCGGTTTTTTGGGGGTTTGTTTTTTGTCTTTGGTGCCCATATACCGTAAACTTCCAAAAATAAGCCTCTCCATGTATAAGCCCCTCCCAAATATAAGCCCCACAAACTCGTAACGTAATAAACCCTCCGTTAAATGGCCCCTCCGAATATAACCCCCTCTCCCCTCAAAAAGGGCTTTTGAAAAATATAAGCCCTGGGGCTTATTTTCGGAATTTTACGGTATTCAGCAACGCGAAGTTATTGTTTTTCTGGTTCGGTCCGGGTTCAGATTACACGGAAAAAAAATCACGCCAGGCCAGAGTCCACGTGCGCTTCGCACGTGACTTCTCCTGCTCATCCCCTGTGCACTATACACGGGTATGGAGTTGTCATTTTCCCATAAGGTCTAGCTGTCGTAGATTTTCAAAATGGCGGACGGTATCGCCATTCCGGTACAAGTGAAGATTCACGTTCAAGAAATGGTTAAAACTGAGTTTGAGATTCAAAACATTATACAAGACATACGGCAATGTTATGGGCCATTAAGTTTACTTAATGATATCAACTTGAAGGTAAAACAAAAGCTGAATTTTCTGAGACAAAAAGTTGAGGTACGTGGAAGTTCTGGGAAGTTTCTTCAGAACCTTTAACCTTGTTAGCTAGTATAAATTAGTAAAATCGTTACCTGGGATGATGAAGATTACAGGATTAATATGTATTAACAATCAATATGAGTATTTATTTGTAAAATTGTAAGTTACGTATATAAATCTTGACTGTTGCTTCTTCGATTCATTCATACAAAATTTGGATGAATCCGCTGCGATCCACGTTGCCTGCCTGCCGCTTTGAGGCAGTTTATTTAAGTCTATGATCCGGATAGCGTTGTTAATAGGATTGAGTGGAGTCCATTAGGTTTGTAATTGTACGAGTTATTAACAAAATCGAGTATGATTATTGACCAATTTGGACAACATGAAGTTCTCTGTTAAAAAAAAAAAAGAAAAAAAAAAGAAACTTAAAATATTTCGAATTTTGCTACAGTTATCATTATTTGGTAGCTACGTAGAACTTTCACCACTGTTATTCATAGTTGGATGAATGACAGAGGTGACAGTTCTCTACAATTGCAACTACCAATTAAAAGCTATAGAAAAATTTGCAATATTTTAAGCTTTTTTTAAATTAAAACACATGACATTTGAAAGTTTTTGCGAGCAGTGAAAAAAAAAACTTTCAAGATGCATACTGTCCTATACACTGTCCTACTTATAATAGGGAGCTTAAGCAACAACGATGGTGACGGCTACGAAAACATCACTAAAAAGTGAGGTCGCACTGCTTCAAACTTTATCGCACTTATTCCACCTTGTTAAATTTGTCAGATGTTGGCAGTTTTTACTGGAGTTGAATAGTAAAAGACTGTATCGAAGTTCAGGAAAAGAAAAAGAAAGTCTTTGTCTTGTGTTCACGTCCTCCTCAAAACGTGAAATTAGGTATTTTCACATTGTAGTCGTGCAGTGACGGCACATGCAGAGTCATTGTTTTGCCAATCCAAACCTATTGCTTTTTTGCTGTTCTCGTTGATGTCGCCGTTGTCATTTCTACGTTTAAAGAGTGATAACCTGGGACCCAAACTAAGTGCATGCTCATTCATGAGATTGTTTGGGGGGACAGGTTGAACAGCTGTAGAGGACTAAGTAAAGAGGACTGAAATGGACTGGGCCCAAGCCCTGAATCGTGGGATGATGCAATCGAATGTAATCAGAATGACTGAGTGTCGAGTGCAGTAAAGATGTTGAGTTTTACAGATTATTTGTCGTTTAGCTGTTGCCTTTGACCCAGATTGGGCTAACACAGCCACCTTGAATGTTACGAGACATACAAGTTGTTGTGTTTTTTGTGTACAAATAACTTCAGGAACTTCCAGGTCCGTGCATGCTTTCCTTTGTATGAGCTGTGTTTTCTTTCTGATTGTTTTGGCTTCATGGCAAAGAAGCCATCCCTGAAGCTGTTTCACAGTGCATTCTTCTGGTTTTTCTTGAGGTAAAATTGCACCAGGCATATCTTCTTCTTTCAGCTTCACATTTTCATGCTTTTTTTCTTTCAATTCCACCTTCCATCTTGCTATTTTGAGCTGTTTAAACCCTGCTGAAACATTCCACTTCGCTGTCATTCCACTTCGCTTTCCACCATGTTTGTTTGCATTCGCGTCCCCCCAAATAATTCCATAAATGCGCGGGCGCCTAGTTTGGGTCTCAGGCTATCACACTTTTCCAAAGTGAGTTATTTCTCTGTCTCTTATTAATAATGGTAAATGAACTGAGGAGAGTGCAATTTGGTCTAAAATCATATGCTTGATTTTAATATTGAATGAGCGTGCCACGTGAGTTTGATTTGAAATAACAAGTATGATTTCAGACCAAAATTGCACCATGTGAAGTTCTATTACCACTTTATTACAGCCTTTTTGAAACCGCAGTCAGTGCCAATATTTATTTGATCTACAGTTGTGGTGGCCGGCATGAATGACAGGATTTAAAACAGCTGTAATTTACAGCAAAAAATAGTGTGATTCGTTAATAAATCATACTGCTGAGGGCCAATCAGATTGCAGGGATCACCATTGATTTCAAAATGGATATGATAAATGTTGAAATCAGGACCATTCATAGCTAACCAATTTTGTTATAGTTATGATTAAAATATTACCCATGGCTGTGGTCTTAAATAAGGTATAGGGAAACTGATCAGCAGCATGAAGAATAAATTTAAGTTTGCAGTCACCCTGACTAGGGATTTTTGATGCCTAGTCTAGACTGCATTTACGAAATACAGCTGAATCTGATATAGGCTAAGAACTCCACGATCCCCGCCAATGGTACAAAACCCACCAAATAATTCCCCAAGTATCCACCTAAATGATAAGGTTCCAGGGATTTAGTTATTTTCTTATTTTCTTGTTTAATGGATAGGACCCTTTGGATTCAACATTGTTCCTTAAAGTGACACAGGGTTCTTAATAGGATTTGAAGTAGGCATCTGCTCAACCTGGTGGCTGTGACAAATGGATGGGCAGTAAACTAGGGAGGGAAAAGCAGCAAATAAAATGCAAAGTAATCGGCTAGCACTTACAAAGTAGGTGGCAATCAATCAGCTGGTGCCAGCTTCTATTGAGAACCCTGTGACAACTTCCAGGTTTCTTGCAAGTAGACTTCACCTGAGACTTTTCTGATGAACTGTATTTTTTTATTCTCTTTACCTGGAGTAGTCAATTGATAAAAATCAGTATCCATCAAGTGATTTTTATCGATTGATAACGAAAATCGGTGAAAATTGATAAACTAAATTGCTGTGTCAAATCGATATTATTATTTTTCATGATTTTAATGAATATAACAGAAGTACACCATTGTTTTTTTTTGGCATGAGTTAGATAGTACAGCTGAGAAAACACATCCACTGAGATTGATTTTCATGTTTGCTGAGTAATAACTACTCAGCAAAATTATTGCAACTCAATTGTCAATAAATAGTACTGTTTGCTTGAATTCGGTTTTCATTTTTTTATGAACAGATGTACCGTAAAATTCCGAAAATAAGCCCCGGGACTTATATTTTTCAAAGGCCCTTTTTGAGGGGCTTAGTTTTGGAGGGGCTTTTATTCAGAGGGGCTTATCTACGGAGGGAAATTTGCGTTTCCAAATGGATTGGGCTAGCCTTATAGTTGGAAGTAAATTTATCGTTTTGGCTTTGTTTTACTTTGTATTTGAGGGCAATTTTCCAAGTACAAGCCCCCGGGGGGCTTATCTTTGGAGGGGTGATTTAATGAAGGGTTTTTAGCGTTACCGGTTTGGGAGGCTTATATTAATTTTGGAGGGGCTTATTTTCGGAATTTTATGGTATATTCCAATATAAATAGATGAAATCGGTAAAAATTTAGATAAATCGATGAACAACATGAGTGTGTCATCGATTTCTACCAATTTATCGATGCAATCGATATCAATCAAATCAGATTTACCGAGTTTCATTGATATCAATTGATAAATCGATACCGATTTTTATCGATTAACTTCTCCAGGTCTTTACCACTTCTAAAGGTATCATTGCCATCACCAACATTTGTATTTTAATCATTCTTATTTTTATTATGACTTAGTATACTGGTGTTTTTATGAGAAAAGTATTAAAGATTGAGCACAAAAAGCCAAACACAAAATTCTGCATTAATTTCTTTTAGTGTTTAGAGCAAGTGGCCTTTGAGCAAGATAAAGAATCTGACCGCCTGGCAATTCTAGCAGTTATGCAACATCACAGAAAGGAGTTGTCAAAGTATATTGAATTCTTTTTTCTACATATTAGAAAATTTCATTTACCAGTATTTGTAGTATACCAAGAGAACTAGGAATGACTCCATTGAGTGCATAGATACATGTATGTTACATGTCAAAATTAACCAAGGTTGATTCTCAATTTTCTTTGTGTTCTAGCCCTAATTCATGAATAATTAAGGCTTAGGAGACAAAGGAAATAGCGAATCAACCTTGGATAAAAAATATTAACCTGAATTTAGATTTAATGATTTGCAGTAAGTAGAGCAGTGATACTGTTCTGTTATTCTCGTTTTTACTTACTTACTCATTTATTTATTTATTTATTTATTTATTCATTTTTGTCTTTTTTTCATAAATCTCTCCAGTCTACAAACATCAATCAGGAAAGCCAATTTAGATTCCAAGACCATTATTGACAAAAGTGAAAAGGAAGAGTTGTTGGGTGGACAGTCTAGTTCTAATATGAGACAAAGGTTGGTAAAGAACAAAGGGGATTTCTAATATAATTGGCAATTATTGATGAGGCCAATGGCTATAAATAGCTATTAAGCCATCCCCCTTTTTTTTGTTTAGCGTTGAATGCATTTTCTGATATTGGGTCAGTCGGTCGGATTAAAACAAAAAAAACTAAAAAATCACAAGAAGTCTTGGAATAGGAGGCCCCGGTACCCTGGGACGACGTTAAAAGTTAACATTCACACAATTGGATGAACAAAATGTACAATTTACTGTAAAAAATGTTCCTGTTTTTCTCTATGCTGTTACCATGATCATTTTTCAGACAGATTGAAATAAATATTCCAAGTGAAAAATGGTTTACGTCATTACCTTTTTTTTAAAAAAGTGCCAAAAATTTGGGTCGGCCGGACAACGCTAAACAGAGAAAAAAAGAGGATGGCCTTATTCCAAACAACTTCATAAAAATAATTTTTAATTTCAGCCAATCTGATGCTTTGAACTCTTAATATCTTGTTGTCAGCACTGCTTGTTCACGACAGCATAGAGATTCATTTCCTACCTAAGACCCCCATGTGAGGGCGAAAGGGCTATTATTATGAGTTTAAGCTGTAGATTAATAGCTGATCCTGGAAAATATTAGTTTGCACTGTTGTAACCCCAGGTACTCTGGAGTTAACATGGTTAAAGAGGCAGGAGTGATCAAAGGATTTTTTGGGGTTTGAAATTTTCCATTCTAGGATTCTTTTGGGTAGGAAAACTTAGTAAGTATTTTTCTTTTTTGGTGCCTTGGTTTATACAGGTTTTTTTGGGGGGGATATTGAAAGCAGTCTGAAGATTTGTGTAGCACTGCTTGTGTGAGTATGCTGGCTGTATAGTTCTGCCTGATGAAGTACACAACCAAGGTGGTGTTGTGTTAATTAAAATTTCATGCATTGTGATAATAGAATATGGGTGGGATTTTTTGAGGGTTAATTTTTGGTCCAGAGATTTGAAGGGGTTTCTTTGAAAGCCCTAGGGATTGCTTTGAGTTTTGTTTTTTGACCTCTTTTGATCATCCCTATCACCTTAACCCTGGGGCATCCACCCCCCGCACTCCCTGCCTGCCCTTGGACATCTAAAATGCACCCACAGTCCCACAGTACAGGCATAACACCTGAAATTGCCTTTACAATATTACATTGGTACTGTACAGAAACATCTGTAGTGTTTTTATATAATTTATTAGAGAAAATATGTCTACCCCCAAGTTCTTTGCTATCATTTTATGGTATTGTATCTGTTAATTTTTATTTAGAAATTTTAACAAGGAGAATTTAGCCAAGACTGCAAGCAATATAACACAAGATTTAAGGAGCATTGCCAGAATGATGGAGAGTCAAGTCAAGCAGAGTGAAGCAGATATGCATGAATTAGGTAAGATACAACACAAGTCATTCTTCTTTGGTAAATGTTGGGCCCAGTTGTGTTATAGCTACAATGAGCTAATCTTAATGTAAGTTAACTGATAGTTGAGAATACCCCTTGAAGAATTGTGATACAGACAGCCAAATAACTGTTGGTGTGAACAACACCTACAAGGAACACCAGTCTTTCCTTTGCAGTTACTGGCACATTTGCATGGCAAGGATTCTGCATGATTTTGAAACAAATTGTATTGTAGTCTTTGGAGTTTTAGTGAGCATTTAACGAGTGTTAACGTTGTTTCTTGAGCTAGGCCAGGCTTTTTCTATCGGCGGTTGCCCCCCTCCCCTTCCCCTCTTTTGCTTTTCCTTTTCCCACTCTTTATCAGTGCAAGCATGCCTGTCCTTTTTCATTTCTGCAAGGGGGCTCATGGCTGGGTTTCATTAAAGAGAGCAAGAGATATAGTTGATATTTTGAAAAAGGAATTTTTAAAAATTAACAACAAAATTTGATTTGATATACAGGGCTGAACACTGCAGTATTTGAACTTACGTGACGGAAAGTAAAAACAAAGAACACATGGTTTTTCTGAAGGAAATTCACTGTTTCAGAGTGCAGAACATTTTTTTTTGACTTGTCATGCACTTAAAAGTTATCAAGGGTAAAATTATATAAAAATAATCTGAAGGGAAACAAAAATTACTTTGAGTTAGCAGAAGGAGCGAGTTATCGAGGGCTTGAGTAACTGAGGTTGGAATTACCATAAAACTATGAAGGAAATCCTGGGAAATTGATTTTGGCTCAAATTAGCGTGATGTTCAAGTTAGCGAGGGTTCGAGTTCTATTGAAAGTCAACTGCACATTCCTAGACAGAAAAGTTGTTATCTAACATTTTCCTTATTCCTGAGTAAAAGTTTTAGCTTTTAAAACCTTTTTTGAGGAATTCAGGCTTGGAAGTGGAGTAACATTTTTTGTTATGTCTGATTTCTAGCTTCCTCATCTGCGCAGATAAAAGATACACAAGATGAATACAAGGGATTATCAGGTATAATTCAGACCAGCAAAAACCTGCTAAACAAATACAACAGAAGAGAAATCACAGATCGCTTACTTATTTTCTTTGGACTTGTACTGTTCTTTTCCACAGTTCTTTACATTTTGAAAAAGCGGCTTCCAATATTTGGAGGATGAAAACTATTCTTAGGGCTTAAAAGCCCATTTTTTCCTCTTATATTTAGTCAAATATGCTATGCTCTTGTTACCCATATTGTCTTTTTTTTTTCTTTGCTTAAAAGATGCTCAGGACCTGTTTAATAGACCAATGACACACATGAATTCAACATTAATTTTGTTGATCAACAAAATAAAAATAATGTTGCGGCTCTAATTGATAAAAAATGTTGAAAAGAGTGTATTCGACCTCAAGTTTATCAGTTGAATGTCAACTGCATGAGGTATTGATGTAAAATATGGTTACCTTACCTTAGCCTACCTAGCATACAGGATTTTAATAATGCTGATGATATACAGCTGTAACTTTTAAATCGTAGAGGAAATTAACATATATTGTTTTGTGACAATAGTCTGGCACATTTGACTTCAAATTCCATCAAAAGTTATACAATAAATTATTTAATATAAACATCAGTGTTATTATAAGAAAGTTGTCCATGCCATGTTGAAAATTTAGCTGCCCCTTTTTTAAGTGAAGTGCACAGAAGATGTACAAAATTTAACATAATCATGAGAGTAGCAAAAGGGGAAGGGTGAGAGGGGAGCGGAGGTTGCAGTTAAGGGAAGGGAATGTGGGGTGGGGTTGACCACCTAGGGTTGAGAACAAGAGGTGAGGGGAGGGGAGGGGAGGGGAGGGGTAAGGGTAATGGTTTCTATAGATTTCTGAGTTACAGTGTGTGCTTTGGTAACTGATATTCCACTAATAGAACAAGCTTTCATACTTCAACAAAAGGACGTTTTTGTGATAGAAAATGAAAATGACGTGCAGATTTAAATCTGGCAACGTGAAATACTCCAAACACTCTCGACAGCCCTTAAAACAGATGACAAAGTCAAAGGATGTTGTGGTGTTGTCAAAACAATTCAGTCAGTTCAAAAAATATTGGAGTGATGGATCCAAGTCAATATGACATTCAATAACTCACACTTCAGATAATTTGGAATGAATACAGGTATGTGAAAGTTTTAGGGAAAAAAATAAATTCAAATTGTACACAGTGAACAACTCTTAATGTGCTCAAATTTAAAAAGATCACTTACAGAAACTGTGGCTTTGGAGAATTGATGGCACCTTTGTAGCATCAGCTAGTAAGTTTTAATAGTCCAGTCGATGACAGAATAGAAAATCTTACAAAAGGATTCTTAGATTTATATTAGATGACTTGGAACCTAGTTATAACACTTTATACAACAGATGTATACATAATACGTTAATTTTACTCATCAAAAATAAATTTTTTACTGTTGTAAGTATTCCATCTACATGAAGAATATGTTCAATCTATTTATTCAATCCTATAATTTATGCAGCCGCTATAATAATTATAATTCTATCTTCCTTTACCTTAAGCTACAAATTACGGCCTCTATTCTTTTTATTACCATGCTGCTAAACAATGGAACTTGCTGCCGAACTCTATGAGAATAATTAGTAACTTTGCTGACGTCAAGAAAACATTGGCTAGCCTTGACATGCGGGCCTAGATATCAATACATAATTCTATTAATAGAATATAATTTAGATTTGGAATTACAGGGGCGGATCCAGAAAATACAGAAAGGGGTGTCCTGGGCACCTATCAGCTGTAGAGATACTATTTATTTTACTGAATATTCTTTTTGAAAGAATACAAAATTTCACAGAAAAACAGGCAAGGGGCGGGCTGCAGTCCCCTTGGCCGACCCCTAAATCCGCCCATTAATTGTAGATCTCTTAATATATTGTAATATATAAAATCTGCTGTAATATAGCCCCTGTTGATAAATATAGTAGGTGTTGTTGTTTTCTTCTGTTGTTGTTGTTGTTGTTGTTCTCTCGAGGGGTGCAATGCAAACCCTATTCAGTCAGTCTAGTGCATCAAGCCTTGGCAGGACTGAAGAGAGAGAGAGAGAGAGAAAACTCTCCTTACATGAAATCATGAAATTGGAGCTCAAGCAACAAGTACTGAACAACTACTGCGACGGCTACGAAAACGTCCCTTAAAAAGCAAAGTCGCGCTGCTTTGAAACTTTATCGCGCTTATTCCATTTCGTTCAATTCAAATGTTGGCAAATTTTTCTGGGTTTGAATTCTAAAAAACTTTATCAAGGTTCAGGAAACGAAAAAGAAAGTCGTTGTCGAGTGTTCACGTCCTCCACAGAACGTGAAATTAGACATAGCAGGAAATGCAAAGAAATGTGCAAAAGAACGTGATGCACGTGCAAAGTTGTTGTTTTGCCAATCTAAACTTATTGCTCTTTCGCCGTTCTCGTTGACGCCGCCGTCGTCGTTGCTTAAGCTCCCTATTAACAATCCTGGGGGGACTGTGTGCAATCTAATTGCGGGCGACAAGAGGTGCCCGACTTCCTAATCTCTAGGCTTCTTTGACGCATGCAAGGCACGTTTGTTATAGCTAGCTTCGTTTAAACTTCCACTTAGAATAAATGAATGCACGGGAGGACGCAGTTTGGACTTTCTATCACTCATAATCTGATTAACTGTGTTGTTTTTTACCATGTATCAAACTTAGGCAAACCACAGCGTTCTCAAACATGTTAAGGCATGGCTCAAGTTTTGGTCTCGACCCCTTGCGAAAATGAAAATGTTTTTCTTTTAGGACCATTCATTTGATTCTAAAAGTTTCTGAAAACTTGCTTTGGTTGGAACAAGAGCGGGATTGACCTTGGAGTGTCGTCACCGCACTCGGTAACCTGTGGCTATAATCTAGTATTATTGAAATATTATTATATACCGTTTTTCCTTCTGGTTAATTCAGATTGCTTGAATGAACCAAACTTGAGTAATGAAAAAAATTATCTACAAAACACACTCAACATAAAACTTAGAGATGTCCATATTATACTAAGTTGTCAGAGCGATTTTCGTATGACCTTGAAAAATGGTTTCGGTAAGTGTTCGTTATTTTCTTTATCAGCCAATTGACAAAAAAAGTCAAACCATGGCCTCTTCGTTTTCCCGCCAAAGAAAACCCTAATATGGAGCAGGCATTGTTCGATTGGCCAATCTTTTTGCAGTATGACGTCAAGGCGAAGTTGGATTGATTTCTAGAAAGTTCTTGGGTTTTTTCACCCGAGCGTTTGCTTAACCAACCAAAAGCCACGCGCGTTTGTATCCGCTCGATTAACCAATCAAATCGCTCTATTTCCGTTCGTTTGTTGTTTCCGTTTTGTTCGCGCGTTTTCATTTCAAGGTCATACGAAAACGCTATATTCAGGACCAAAACAAGAGCCTTCAGTGATAGCGTGAGGTTTTCGTATAATTTACAATGTGCTCATCAAGAGTAATTCAGCTGATATCAATCTACATCTTTCTCCGTGATATTCACATTGTGACCACACAGTTTTCATTGCGTATAATCAGGTTTATGTTTGGATGCAACAGCAGCAACAAGTGCTGCCCCTTTTCCAGAACCATCCTCGGACAGTACGAGATTAACATTGCCTTCTGGTAAAATATCTTTTAGGGTTTCCTCCATGTATCGCTTGAACTTTGGGTGCTTCTTAAACAAGCTGCCATCAACACCAATAGTAGTGGTATAGTTCTTTGTTTTCTGATTTTGAAAATCAAAACACTGGGTTAAAAACTAAATTTAATGAACCTTATTTGACAGCTTTCGTGTGTTTTGGATCAAGGAAAGAAAAAGTTTCAACATATTTTTTCTCACGCATGGTATCCCCGACATCATTGTACTAGCAGTTTTAAATTAAGAAAGGCAAGCAAATGTCAAAAATTCACTTTTTTGCTACATATTTGTAACAGAATACACAAATGTAATAGAATGAAAAAAAAAAGGAACAAAACAAATCAAAATAAACCGTGTGCAAGTTTTTTATAAATTGTTATAGAGGTTATGCATGTTAATCTGCGAATCAAACCAAGCACTCAGGTTCGTCACAAAAATGCAGGATAATTAGTTGATAACATTTAGCTTGTAACAGACCATTCCACGGTGTTTTTTTTTTTTCAACCTTTGACATGGACATGTTAGGGAAAATCTGTCCACAGCGCTGGAAAGAGCACCTTTAAATTAGAAACCTTGTCAAGTTTGAAGGTAATTTGTTGAAAACTAACGGAAATATAGCTCCTCAAAGTCGCGGCGTTTTACATACGTTTGTCGTATGGTGGGGGGGGCAAACTTGTCCCCCACCATACACCGAACAGGGGCGTAGCCAGCTTGTCGAGTATTCGTAGGCCTGGCTGCCTTTCATTTCCACATATCCTGAAAATTGCACGCATGTCTAGTACGCACTGACCTCACCAACACTTTGAGCTCTTGTAAGAGCTCAATAAGCTCTCACCAACAACACATAGTTTATGAGAAAAGGTAGAGTGATCAAACCAAAAATTTGTAGGCCCTGGCCTACAAATCTATGGGCTGACTATGCCTCAGACGAAAGTCTGTAAATTTTCGCAGTTTTGCGAAGGTATATCTTCGCTCATTTACGACGTATCACTTCCAAACCTTGCAAGTTTAGTAATTTTAAGGCCCTCTTTGTCTAGTGGTATTGACGAATTTTACCTACCTAGGGCATGTCAAAAGTTGAATAAACCGTTCAAGGGTCCATTGTAGCTGTCTTTCTCCTCATTGACTTCATTTGACACAAAGTAATGGTCGCACACGTTATTTTGTTGGTAGACTAACATACCTTGATAATTGCAGCAATTCCTGCAGCAGCTAGCCTAGCAGCTCTGATAGAAACAGCGGCACAAACTTGTTTTAATATCTCAATATCAGACTCAGATGCATTCACTCCCATTTCATTCATGACCTGATCAATCTTGTATCCGTCATGGCTGTTAAAAAAAATTCACAAATGAGAACCATGTGGGTTGAGTTTGTTGTTGGTCCTCTCCCTTGCTCCAAGAGGGTTTTCTCCGGGTACTTCGGACTTTTCCTCTCTCCTTAAAAACGAACACTTCCAAGTTCCAGTTCGATCTGGAACAGCTTGGAAAGCACGGACACGTTTGAGTTCAACTCCTAAGTGCTCCGTGGGTAAACAAACAAAAAACATGACGAATTTAATAGCTATTGATGAAACGACAATCTTCAAAGATTTACGTAATGATCGCATTGGCTGGCAAGGTTGGTTTACGTATTTAGAGTGGTTTTCGTTTGAGTGTCGTAAAACCAAAACCAAAGTAATTACTCTGGCCAATCACAAAGGACACAGACAATACATTGAACCAATCAAAACTCGAAGTAATTACATGTGGCTGACGCAAAGCGCGGGAAAATGCATGCGAGCGCGTCACAATTGGCTTTGGTTTTACTTCTGATTGGATGAAAAGGTGGCGCGAATCTTTTAAGCCAATCGCATCGTGTAGAAAGTGCAAAACCAATTACTTTTCGACACTCAAATGAAAACCGCTCTAACTATTTATTTTTATTTTCTCATTATGAATTTCTGCTGTCACCGTCTAGGGGGCTCAAGCTCGCTAGTAGTGCTACCACAAATGATATATTATTCTGTTAATGACTCCACCAGCACCTTTTTTTTTTTAGAAACTAAACACCTTTACTGAAAGGTTACATCTTAAACAGACAAGATCGGTTTTCTGGAAACTGTTAACTCTTTTATCCAAATGTTACATATTCACACATAGCGGGATCTGTAATATGATTTAAAACATGCCTATTTCGTGGGATTTACACGATCTCATAAAGATTAAATGAAATCTACAAGATCGTGGAATTCAATTAAGCAAGTTATACTCTAGCCTGTGTACAGCCGCCCCTCCCCTCAAAAAAAACGGAAAGGAGCTCCTTTCCGATTTTTTTGACGGGAGGGGCGGCTGTACACAGGCTAGTTATACTCATGTATTTTCAAAATTAATTAGGGAGGTTTAACTCTTATCGCCTCTTGCTGCTACTTTGTCCAGGCTTTACACACAAAGGTGTTGATCAGTTGGTTTTTGAGAGACAATATTACATTTTATTCCAAAGAAATGACATTATTTAATGACATTGTTCACTTTGGCTAGTCCTTTGTAAACGTGTTTGGCATCTATCATCATCGTCATCATCATCATCGTTATCATTATCATTATTGTTATATTCATCATTACCATTATTATTATTATAGGATATGACTGACCTAGATAAGCGTACGCTACCCGTAGGCGTGCCAAATTTGTAAAACTGTTGTCAAAAACGAGTAAACAAATGCAGGAGCCCGTAAAAAATGTGTACGTATCGGCCATGGCTCTCCACCGAGGTGTATTCATATCAGAAGGTTATTTTAATAACAAACAGAATACTTATATGTCTTTTCTTCACCCTACCTTTCAATATCGGAAATAAACTTGGTGTGAAAGCTGTCTTTTTTACTAAACCTCCCAGCCTGGCCATTGAAAAGGAGTGTCTTCTGAATAAGCTCCATACAAACAAGTCTGGTGATTTCACCTAGGTACATCCCAGAAATCATCTTCTCAAATCTGAATAGAGTAACAAAAATCATGGGAATTAAAAAAAAACTGAATTGAATGCAAGGATGACAAAACGGCAAAGGGCTGATTTATTTGAGGTCAATATTACGGCTAACAAAATTAGCCTTCCTCAGGGGCAGGGCTACACCGAAAGAGAAATCATGAGTGATAAGATGGACTGGACAGGTAATACTAGTCTCACTCAAGCTAAGGCTATATTCATACTTTTCCAGATAACTTTTCGTATGGGCAAAATCGACACGAAAAGCAAATTCCGGTATGAGTATGAACACCTATCCAATTATTTGACTCTCCACTTTAGAGAGCGGCGCGGGGCAGCTTTGCTTCGTTTCAGAAATCGCGTCAAAATCACTGTTAGAAAATTATTGCGTCATTGTGGCGGGAAAACTCGCCACGTGTTCTGGAAACTCAGCTTTGCACAAGAGTCTAGGAACTGCGTAGTCGTTCGGAGTCGTGGAGCTAGTCTAGTGTGTAGATTGAGTGTAGATCATCGAATTTTTACGCGAATTGATGTCGATGAATCCTTTAAAGGTCGGTACACATTAGGCGACAAGTTGCAGCAACATGTCGCGGCGACATATTGCAGCGACAAATCGCTTCGTGTGTACTGGAGAATTTTTGTGAAAATCTTTGTCGCTGCAACAGAATTTGTCCCCGCAACAAGTCGCACAGATTCAGTCTGATTTGATTTTTTGCGACTTGTTGCAGCGACAAAATTCTGTTGCGGAGACAAAGATTTTCACAAAAATTCTCCAGTACACACGAAGCGATTTGTCGCTGCGACGTGTCGCATCACCTTGTTGCTGCAACTAGTCGCCCAACCTGTTCACATGGAGTGATCGGTAGCCGCGACGTGTTGCTGCAACTTGTCGCCTAGTGTGTACCGACCTTAAGTGTAGAACAGAGTACAGAATTCTAAAATATGAACATGTGAAGAAATATACTTTGAATGGAGTGAAGAATTAAAGCTAAACAGAACTGGTTTCTCACACATAATTTGTGACAATCACCGCCCTTATGAGGGAACAGAAGCCCTATCCGGGAATTTTTTCAAGCCGGCGTAAAAGCTATCCGGTATTGAACAAGGCCATTAGGAGTTAACATGACTAATCCTGAATGATAGAGCGGTTTTCACTTGACTGTCGTAAAACCAAAACCAAAGTAAATACACTAGCCAACCAAAGGGCGTAGTAAAACCAAAACCAAACCAATTCCTCAATTACTTTCGACAGTCAAGTGAAAACCGCTCTATCTTACTGATGACACATCCTGATGAACATCTTGACTTCGTTAAATGCTGTGCATTTCAATGGTTATTGCAATGATATAAGGGTTATTATTTTGCAAATTAATAAATTACATTACTGCGCTTTTCACAAACATGCGAACTCTAGAGTTCAAAAGCCGCCTTCACAATTGCGTTTTTTGCTGCCGTCAATCATAATTACGATCACAAACAACGAACCTGGAAACAAAGAAACGCACAAAACGGATCGAAATCCACCAATCACAAATCACAAACCTTGACCTTTTGAACCCGTTAAAGTAAAGTTTTGTTTCCTAAGAGATCCGTTAAGATGGTTGACGGCAGCGAAAAACGCAAGAGAAAAGCGAAGTAATTGCTAACGAGCAACCTCGCGAAGAAGCCAAAGGTAACTTTTATGACGTTATGCAGAACAGAGAATGTAAGAAAAATATGCTATAATAATAATAATAGACACTTATATAGCGAGGTATCCACTAATTGCTCAAAGCGCTGTATAATAATATGGTAAGAAACTAGAGTTAAAAGTATTATAAGATAAAATAAAAATTAAATAGAGCTACTAAAATCAAACATCGTACAGTTGGCTTCTTTAAATAAGTATGTCTTCAACTGCGCCCTGAACTGGTCGACAGATGAAACACCCCTGAGTTCAGGGGGCAATTGGTTCCATAACCTAGGAGCAGCTGCGGAAAAAGCCCTATCACCATACTATGTAAAGTCAGGATTTCAGATCTTTATGCAGTAGAACAGTTTAGTTCACCATTTTCAAGGTAATTTTCGGTCATGCAATCGAAATGAGTTCAAAATATTTTACCCAAATACACTGCCTGTTTATGCCGCTGAGAAAAAATAATAACGCTGCAAAATTTACTGTGCCATTGAAGAAAGTAGTACAGGAGGGATGAAATTGTCCGTTTTTTTGCGGTGGAATACATCAACGCCGATGACGTGTATCGCTTGCAGGACGCTTCGCAAGAAACTGCTGGACCAGCTAATGGAGCAGATTTCGTCTTTACGAGTGGCGGCAAGGTCCTCCCTCTCCCAACACCACCATTGACATGTTCGAGCCTTGCATATCACGCTCAATAGGAAGACTCTGAAAGAGGCTCAAGTTGTAATTTTCGCCTCAATGACAGCAAGAGCAGAACTTGTTAATGACAGAACAGCTGTTGCCTTTTTGATGGCTTTCCGTCATTTCGTGAGCTTGCGGGGCCACCCACGTTTTTGCTCTTCGGTCTGTGAAGGAAACTTCGTAGGTGCTAAACGTTACTTGTTTTATAATGTGTATGTTACAAGTTAAATTTGATTTCAGGTTTAAAAACTTTTGACCCAGGTTGCTTCTCAATTTTCTTTGTCTTTTAGGGCTAGGAGTCGAAAGGAAGTTGAGAATCCACCTACACTAGATCAAAATTAACCTGAAATCAAATTTGACCTACAACATATACACTTGATAAGATAATATTGGTTAGTCCCAATTAGCACTTCTATTTGAGGTGGGAATGGTCACTGAATAGATTACAACACAAGTAAAAACAAACAAACAAACTTACATCTGCATTCCAGGGTTAATGGACTCTTTGTCCACTTTTTCATCAAAGGCTGTTCTTAGATGATTCCAGGAACCATTGTCACCAAATGCTCCCCATTCAGTGTTGATAATAACTTCTCGTGGATCGTTACAATCGCCAGTCCATTTTGGTACATTATTAAGGCTCTCCATATAGCAGGCATTTGTTCCAGTTCCGAGAATCAGTCCAGCACTGACATATGGGTTGCTGAGTGCGCACGACATCATTGTTCCTGTTGTGTCATTGACAAGTGCCACAAGACCCACACTTCCACTCTGAAAAAAACGGTTGTTTTCATGTTGCGCTGACTTGCTTGCAGCGGAGGCTGGAACACAAACCTTACAAGGGCTACTATTTAGGCAAAACGATGGAGGTTGTTTTTCCAAGATAGGATTTTTGCCTGGGCCTTTTTGAAGCAAAAATTGGCAATGCAGCCTTTGGTGCATTTTTTAGTGCAAACAGAGTAATTTCAATGTAGTATACAAAGGTGGCTATTATGCGGAAGTTTCAATAAAGAAACATGCAAGTGGGCTTGTAGCCAGAGTAACACAGTTTTATCTTGTGAGACCTAGCCTCGTCCTAGGCCAATTAATTCGCGCTATCCGAGTAGCAAGCTTGAAAGGTGACGTCAAATCCGAAATCACCGTGGATGAAAGGGAACGAGGCTGTGTAGGACTCTGTAAGTAAAGGTGATCATGCACTGAGGTTTGACTGTTCCAAGAAAGCCAGAGAAACCGGATGTTAAGAAAGGTAGGGTAAATTTAAATAACAAGCATTTTGACATGTAAGGGCCGGACCTGGTACAATTTTATTCCCCCCAGAACAAAACTTTTAAAATCAATAAGAACTCTAGCTCATAAGGGATAACCAAGGCATAGTCTAGACAAAATTACGTGCAGAGGTCGTCTTAAATTTTCTGACTGTGACCTTAAAAACAGCAAGCCTTCGAACCAAGTCTACATTGTTGAATTGAATACTTGTAGATTTGGGTAACAGGACTACAAATAAAACCCAAAACTCACCAATCCTTTTCTATCTATCGCTTCTTTGAGAAGTCTGACAACATCTTTATTCTCTACACCAGTGGCAGAAAAGCCTTTGGTCCACTTAATCAGTAAACCAGACGTCAAGGATAGTTGCTGAACTGGAAATGAAAATGTGAACCCCAGTGGCAGATTATTAGCAGTGATTCTATTTTTCTTGACAAACAGCGCGATGCAATCAGCGATGTAATCAAAAAGCGTTATAGCATCACTTGTCATCAACGCTTTTTCCAGTGGGTAAATGTCACTTTTCATTTCAACCTCGCCTTTGTAAACGGAGATCGAAAGCACCCGGAAGTTGCTACCTCCTAAGTCCACAGCCAAAAAGGATCCCTCTTCTGTTCCATCTGGTATTGCTCGCACATAAGTTGGAAGCATTTTTACTGGGCTATCTGCTCGTACTCGTTCATCGGCTGAGAGGCCTTTAGTAAAGTCACTAACGAGAAGGTTGACAATTTCCTCAAGGGATTCATGGGATATGTGAAAGGTTTCTAAGATTTTCACAATCTACAAGAAAACAATAAAACAAATTAACAGGAGGACAAAGTAATATTCAACTGAACTGCGTCAAAGAAATATCACAAAATTAAAGAATGACAAAAATGCATAGATTATGGCAGAGCACAGCCAAAACCTTGACACATCATAAAAATATAAGTATCAACGAGACAAAGTGCAACAAGGGGAAGTAAGAGTCTAGTGGATAATTTCTAAGGGAGAGTTGTCATTTCAGATGGTATAATATCCTGTCTCTTTAATTTACGCTTTAGTTTGTGTCCGTCATTATACATGTTATTGAGCAAAAGGAATATTTAAACTACGGAAATAAATGGATAAGAGCTTGATATAATAAAATAAGCGTATGAATGGTAATAAAACCCTTGTCCAAGAGTCTCTGGAGTTTTAGCTTTAACCCTTCTTCATGGCGAGGACTTTGCATAACTCTTGGCATAAGTTATTCCATATTTGGACTTGACCACGTGCCAGAATAGCCAGAGCTAGAATTTGCGAGAGAGCAGAAAACGCAAATGTATGTCTCAACACTCCGAAGGAAAAAACAAATTCTTATACCTCATTTCTTCCTGATAGGGCATCGGACAAGGAAGCAAAAAGCTGACGTGCAAATGGTATAGCTGAAAACATCTTGGATCACAATTCAGCTAAAAATCTGGAAGAAAAAGTGTACAGGGTAAACTTCATGCATGTGAAAAATATGTAAAGATAACAACTCTTATTGAAGCTCTGTTCACGTAAAATTCCGACAAGGGATGTGGCTTTCGAAACAGCGACATAAGGCGCTCAGATGAGGTAGTGAGCAACAACACAAAGATGTGTTTAACATCCAAGGTCATGCAAAAGTGATGAAGACAAGCACATTAGTGAAATATAGGGATATGGCTTCCCCCTCAACGCACGAGTGGGACATACATACCTCACTAATTAGAGGATACTGTTAAATATCTAAGAAATTCATGGCCGATTAGGTCGTAAGCCGACTATAGCTAATGGGATACACATGAAGATGTTAGATCACCCTTCTCCACTGGTATACAGGCCTAGTATGAGCTCATGAATGAAAATGTGTTACAAATGTTACCAAGACCCTTTCTTTCTTTCATGACCTTTACTCGATTTGCTTCGCACAGCAGTTACTTGTCGAGTATTTGGAAAGGCTTTTTAGTGTATGCTTAGACTTATTTGTGTAGCATCTTTGTCAATAACTGGAGTTGCTGACGGGCTGAGCATTTTTCCGCGGTTGAAGAATCGGGGCATATACAAACGGCATTGCTTGGAAAAACAACGAGTTTTAAAGGAGCGAGAAATGGCGACCTACATAAAACGATCGGGACGATGTTCTCTGGTAAATCATATATTGACATCGAAACAAGTTTGGTACAAATCGAACCAAACAGAACCGAGACACAGTTATGAACAAGAAAGGCACTATGTTGTTCGTCTTATTCTAGGCGCTTAGTTTTTACATTTGGTTCTTTTCGATCGGCTTCATGGTGACATAGAGTACTANGGCGACCTACATAAAACGATCGGGACGATGTTCTCTGGTAAATCATATATTGACATCGAAACAAGTTTGGTACAAATCGAACCAAACAGAACCGAGACACAGTTATGAACAAGAAAGGCACTATGTTGTTCGTCTTATTCTAGGCGCTTAGTTTTTACATTTGGTTCTTTTCGATCGGCTTCATGGTGACATAGAGTACTAACTATGCTAAAAACATGATGTTTACCGTGGAGAGGCGCTTCTAGACACTTTCTGAGGCCCAGCTGTTAGGGTAAAACTCCGAAAAGCGACTTGGCCTTGAAATAACTATGACGTATGACAAGATGAAGGACTTCCTTTCTCTGCTCAACTGATCGGATTCGTCAAGTATTTTTCCTGTTTATATTTTACTGTCCTGTCACTGCAAAGAGTCGCAGAAATGTGCCTTCATAATATATTGTTACGAAAGCTATTCAAAAGGGGAATTAGTCGAGTCATTTTGTCGGTGCATGCACAGGCAAAAATTTCATCGACGGTTGCTGTCATTGTTTGCACTCTTATTTCGTCTACGGTATTTTAACACCTATATTGATACTAAATGCTTGTCTTGCAGGCTGTACAAGAATTCGTGATTTACAGATCACCTAATGACCGTATGCACGAACACAAACGCCCTTACACGTATAATCACAAGTAACCCAGGCTCGCTGGCACGCAGGCTAGTCAGGTACTGGTTTCATAACATGAGTAAATATAGAGAACATATGGGGCGAAGTTTGCTAGAAAATGGAAATAAAAATCGATAAAACTTATAATGTGGCGCGCGAGTTGTTGTTTTCGCTAATATGCACACGAAGTTTAGAGAAAAATCGGGGGAGAAAAATAGTCTACTTCATCTTTCCCACATGGTATGTAGGAAAGATGAAGCAGACTATTTTTCTCGAAACTTCGTGAGCATATTAAAGACAACAACAACTCGCCACATGGTAAGTTTCGTCGATTTTTATTTCCATTTTCTAGCAAATTTCCAGACCTAAACTTCGCCCCATATGTTATCTATATTTACTCATGTTATGAAACCCGTACGTGACACAAACAGTAAGCCTGGGTTCCTGTGGTATAATGTTTACATCATGCGAAATGGACTGTTTCCAATTTTCCAGCCCATTATCGAGAAATAAGTCGCTTGCTCTTCTCACAGCACTTATTTATTGTGCGTCTATGCATGTTCTAAACTAAGTCACTCTTGGTCTAAGAATAAAATCAAACTTTGGTCTATTAAATAACCCATACCCTACGGATAGTCAATGGAATTTCCGGAGGGGGAGGGGTAAAGAGTAAATTTTTTGAAGGGTAGGGGTGTCCATGTGAAATAACTTTCCAGAGGGTCATGCAAACTCGTTATACCATAATACGTAAACGTTTACTGGCGCATATCATGTTGTCGTGGCGAACAAAAATAAACAAATAGTTGTCATGATGACTTAAGACCCGTAGAATTCCAAAAGTTTAATACGGCCACTCGAATTAATAAATTCCCATTTCTTCTAAATTTGACCCCACTTGTCACGGCTGTCAGTCATACTCGAACTCGGATAACTGGCATAACTCGAATTCCTCGCCAAATCGAACTAATTTCGTTTTCCTTCATTGATAGAATTTGCCCTGATAACTTGAATTCTGGTCCTAGCAACTCGCCGCGGATGCCATTCCATTAGCTCTTCTTGTCGTGTAAAACTCTAAAAGTTACACTATCGTAATTTGATTTTAATGAGTGCAAAGATTTGACAGTCATTTCCCAATCTTATGAGCAATACCGGATCATCAGAATAAGAATGCATAATTGTGTCATTGTGCAATTCCTGGTGAGCCAAGATTAATTTGTACAGTATGGTATACTGAACTGCTGAAAACAGTTAACTATCAGTTGTTTTGGCAAAGTAAACATTCGATAGACCCCCGTAACTCAAACTTCCACTAACTCGAACTGGTTGTCGCTACCCTTCAGAGTTTGAGTTTATACCGGGGCTCTACTGTGGATTCAAAAAGATTTCTACACGTAGGAATTATCAATAGAATACGCCTCACCTTGTTTTACTTTTTGTTCTCTTCCTTCCTGTGTGTTAATTTTCCCGCTCCGATGCGATTTTAGCAATTTCTTCCAAACCGCAGCAGTTCTCAAAGGTTTCGTTGTCTCTAAAAAGTGTCAGACGACCTACAATTTCCGCGAATGTCACATGAGAAAACGGGCACGAATCGTGTCATCTTACCATACCGTTCAAGGATCAAACCCGGTGATCACACTGTCTCACGATCTCAGCTCAAAGGTTAAAAAAGTGATCCGAATGGTGTTCATCCGCAGCAAAAAATGAAAAATGAAGATCTTTAATGCGCGAGAAATTAGACCCACCAATAAAGTGCGGTTCATGAAAAGTTTCAATGTAACCTGGGTGACGTACGAAACACAAAATTGATGGGATTTGCTCGGTGCGGCACCTGCATGTACGCGTTGATGGTCACAAACAGCCGAGGTCGTGTCATGAAAAAAATTAAACAGCCGGAACAACAACTCAATCTGATCGTGGGATATTTAAGTTTTGCCGCGAAGTTCAGTCAACATGTCAATGTCGTCTTAACGTTATAATACTTCTACAGTTATAGAGACTAAGTACTGAGGATTAAACTCTCAGGGGCACCCAACGACAATTTTCGGAAAATATCTGTTCGGAAGACGATTTGAGATCTAGAATTTTCGGAACAATTGTTGTAAAATCTTTTGCTTGCATGCCTCTGCTAGGATTTTCGAACATCTAAAAACTACTTTAATTGACCATTTTTAACGGATGTTTACCCTTACAAGATCACCTAGAATTTTCGGGAGCCTTTTTTGTGGCTGAAATTTTCGAAAAGGTAAGTTTTGATCCCTATAATTTTCGGATCACTAGACTTTCAGCTAGGAAATCCGAACAGATGAAAAATTTTTAGGGGATAAAAATATGCCTATATCTACCGTTTAAATACTAAAATACGTTCAACAATACTATATTTAAGTGGTTTTGACCTATATTCTCGTTGGGTGCCCCTGAACTCTTACAGAATTGACACTGTGTGAAACGAACAAACCTGCTATCGTCTGAAAGTGATGTGGCACCAACTGATTCATAAGCCGGAGGACAAACCACAGAATTCAGTTCGCCAGTTCCAACAGCTGGTCTTTACCTTTAAAAATGAACTCTAATTTATTAAGCTCTTTCGAGGAGAAACACTTTTCACAAAGCTGGAAATAGCCTTTTCAAAGGGCTTAACACCAAATAAAAGCGTTAATTCACGATTATTCCAATAAATACGTACAAAAAACCGCCTTGCAACCTGTTGTTTTTTAATTTGTCCGAAGTTGCTACGCTGTTTTGTATAGAATAATTAGTACGTTATGAGTCTTGGGATTTGGTGGGCCACTGCACACAGCATAACTATAGTTTTTTGACGTTCGCTTGGTTTTATATCATGCACTCTTTAATACGGACGAGTACAAATGATACTACATTTCTTCCTTTTCCTGTGTGACATAGCGAGGGCAAAGCAAATCGTATTATTTTAGAAGGGGTTGAGTGACGCCTTTACCGGTCGATGAATCGTATAATTTTCATCTTCTCTCACATGAGGTGAGAGAAGACTACCATCATTTCATGTCATTGTTTTCCTCTAGCCTGTCATATATTATTGTGACACAAGCACGCTGATTTTCATGAAGTTTCAAACCCCAGCTGAATTTTCTGAATGGATGAGAAAAAAAGCTTACGACGCTGTTATAGCTACTAGTAACTTGCCCTGGTATAGTCCAACTGAAAAAAAAAACCGGAAACAGTCAATTCAACACCGTCGCTTGCCTCTGTAAGGTACAGAAAAACGGGCAAAAAAAAAGTGTAACTTATTTTGCAACATTGCTGCATAACGAGTTGAATAGCAATGTTGCGTGTTTTACCACCCACGCAAAAAAACCTTGCAACCTTATTTGTTGCAAGACACGTTTGTTGTGGGGGCTAAAACGCGCAACATCGCTATTCAGCTCGTTTTGCAGCCACACTGCAAAACAAGTACATGTTGCACGTGTTTTGTTGCCCATTTTGCTGTGGCTTAAGGACCTTAAGCGGCGTGCTTTGCAAATCGTTTCCCTGTAATGGAAACTTACAGACTCATGGTCAGGTGAAAACCAAGAATTCTTCAGTTTAATGATCATGGGGCCAATCGCCTTGCCCTGACGGTAGCAGGCAGTTATTTTTGGTGTCTTTTTCGTTTGTGGTTCCAGTAGAAAGAGACACGGCCTCATTTGAGCTGAGACGAGGTTAAACAGGAAAACGAGGAGGTTAGGGGTACGGGGGAGGAACAAAGCAGAGAGAAAAACCTCGTGTATTCAGCCCCAGATTTGATGACCAACGCTACAATCCTTCTCAATTGGCAAATAGCAATTTACAAACATTGAACTATGAATGGGGCTACTTTTAATTCATACTAGGTTTGCTCTGCTTTAAAACCAAAAGGATTATGGACCAAACTTTGAATGCGTGGCTGAATAGTGGGAAGAANCAAAAAAAAAGTGTAACTTATTTTGCAACATTGCTGCATAACGAGTTGAATAGCAATGTTGCGTGTTTTACCACCCACGCAAAAAAACCTTGCAACCTTATTTGTTGCAAGACACGTTTGTTGTGGGGGCTAAAACGCGCAACATCGCTATTCAGCTCGTTTTGCAGCCACACTGCAAAACAAGTACATGTTGCACGTGTTTTGTTGCCCATTTTGCTGTGGCTTAAGGACCTTAAGCGGCGTGCTTTGCAAATCGTTTCCCTGTAATGGAAACTTACAGACTCATGGTCAGGTGAAAACCAAGAATTCTTCAGTTTAATGATCATGGGGCCAATCGCCTTGCCCTGACGGTAGCAGGCAGTTATTTTTGGTGTCTTTTTCGTTTGTGGTTCCAGTAGAAAGAGACACGGCCTCATTTGAGCTGAGACGAGGTTAAACAGGAAAACGAGGAGGTTAGGGGTACGGGGGAGGAACAAAGCAGAGAGAAAAACCTCGTGTATTCAGCCCCAGATTTGATGACCAACGCTACAATCCTTCTCAATTGGCAAATAGCAATTTACAAACATTGAACTATGAATGGGGCTACTTTTAATTCATACTAGGTTTGCTCTGCTTTAAAACCAAAAGGATTATGGACCAAACTTTGAATGCGTGGCTGAATAGTGGGAAGAACTGAAGTTTGTCCAGTTCTCGTTTTCTTTGCATTTTCGGCGCCATTTTGAATACGATATAGGGGCATGTAGGTTAACCAGATGATGCAACTGATGAAACTGATGTCTATAGAGGACGGAGTCATTGGAGTTAATGCAATTAGAAATTAGACTGACTCAAAGAATGACTCACAAGGACCCTTAGAGAGAGATTCAGAAGGTATCAGCGGTTAAAAACGTGTGTTACAAAGAAGCCTGAAAACCACCTTACATCATGTGCAGTGTGATGACTTTAATTAAAATTGAAGGAATATCTAACGACTACTTTACAACCTTTTCGCGCTATATTCAAACGTTTAATTTATCAAAGATATTTTTATTTCACTTTGGCTTTCTTCACTTACGAATAAGTGACGGTTAACTTCAAAACAGCCCCTTTTTCCGCTAGGTTAACATCGCGCGCTCGAAAGGTCAGAGGAAAGGTGTGGGTCCGGAGCGACCGGAGCAGGGTGAAAACGGAGATTGAGACTGGAGAGAGACAGGGGAACTTGAATTTCTCATCATGTCGAAAGCGCTTGCAATACCTATTGAGAAAAACCCGACTGTTTTGAGGTCTACAGTGACAGAAAAACCTGTATTAACAGCATCCCAAGGGACAAAAGCATCAGTGTGTTCCAAACTTCGTCACAATTTTTTGGAAAATGAAAATTTTTATGGTCATCCGTGCACAACACAGATTAATTTTACTGTCATTGAAAATATGAAGGATGATGGCTAAATGAGATGTTTACTTACAAAATTAACTTTGTTCAATTTTCCGACAGAATATTGTCTACACAATGCAAACTATGTACTACTGGCTTTTTGTACACAGGTATGCTTAAACAACATTTTCAACAAAATGTTCAACCTCAGTAAAGTACAGTGTTCATGTTTTAGAAGTGTTCATATATTTATAGTAACAGATGTAGGGATTATTAAAGTACGGCGTTATTATCCAGAACCAAAAAGAGCGTTCCATGATAGCATGAGGTTCTTGTAAAATTTACAATGTGCTCGGATCAGGAGTATTTCAACTGATATAAATTTACATCTTTCTCCTTGATATTAGAGACCTTTAGATTCGAAGACGAGAATGACTACGACGACCAGATTTGTTTCAAATTTTTTTCGCGTATTCTCAAAAATAGACATCTCGAGAGGCTTTTTTGCACTTTTTTACCCAAAAAAGTGATCACAAAATGGAAGAACTTCTAACATTTGATAAACGTTTCAGGCGCGGATCCACACCGGTTTCCACTGTTTCACGGAAATCGGTCACATTTTTCATAATAAATATATTTTGAATAATAAAAAACACTTTCAAAGTTGAAATCTGACCAATATCCTGTCTGAATGACTCAAAAACCCAGGAAAGGGGAATTCAAAGAGTGAAAATCCACACAAATTTCCTGGTGGGGAAGCCCGCCTCCTGACCCCGCTAGAAGCCTGCGCTTGTTTAGGAAATTGGCCAGTATTTATTCTAAGCCCCATTCACACCAAAGCTTAAACATGTTTAAAAGCTGCTTAGTTAAACATAGTTTAAAATTGTTTCCGACTTCATAAAAGCTGCTTACTGACTTAAATTGATTGCGAATTAAGTCCCGGTGCAAATAACAAAACTTGTTGAATTCGAATCCTGTGTTGAAACCTCTGTTCCATTTTTCCGTGAATATTTTTCAATTTTTAAAACCTGGTTTAGTTAAACATGTTTAGTTAGTGTGAATGGGGCACTAGATTCGTGCCTGCTTTTTTTCGTCACTACGACGACCACTACGACATTCTCGCTGAAACTATAGTCTATACTAAAACTGATGGTAGAACTACGCCTATCACGTTTTCCCGCCCAAACGACGCTGGCTTACGCGCGAGCACTACTTAGTATTGAGAAAATCTCGTACTCGTAGTCGTACTTGTCTTAGAATTCACGGGTCTCATATTCACGTAGTGACGACACAGTTTTCACTGCGCATTATAATTAGTTTAATATTTTTTGGATGCAACTGCGGCAACAAGTGCTGCCCCTTTTCCAGAACCATCCTCGGACAGCATAAGAGTAACATTGCCTTTTGGTAAAATGTCTCTTAGTGTTTCCTCCATGTACCCCTTAAACTTTGGATGCTTCTTAAACAGGCTGCCATCAACAGCAATAGTAGTGGTATAGTTCCTTGTTTTCTGTTTTTTGAAAAAATAAAAACATTGGGTTTAAACTACTAAATTACAATGAATCGTATTGACAGCTTAAATGTGTATTTAACTAACGGAAAAAAAATTCTTTACTATATACAGCAACAAAAAAGAAGTACCAGCATATTTTTTCCTGATAGCATGTTCCGTAATCGCTATATGCAGTTGTACATTAAGGAGACAGATATGGCAAAAGATTAACTTTTTGGCAATATATTTAATTCTGCAAATTTAAATGATCAGTGTAATAGAATAAAAAAACAAACAAACAAACAAACAAAGTTGTATTTTGTGCACCCTGTACACTGAAAAGTGTTTATGTTGTAGTTAATTTTTTATCTCAGGAAATTTTTATTTTTCCTTTGTTTCGACTTCATTAGCATACATTACCACAACCAAAAACAAAAGAAAAGCAAAAATTACCTGAGAAAAAAAAAATCTAGAACATTTATCCCAACATTGTTTAGAGGGGGAGGGGAGGGGAGGGCCATTCCAGGCATCCAAACTATATCAAAAGTGGATACTATGGTACACTTGCATATTTGATTTGTTAGCGCTGATGAAGGAAGGTTTTCAGTAACGGTTCCAACGATTTTCTCCATTGTAGCGTCTAACACTCTCTTTCTCATCAATGACTTTGACACAAAATAATTTACATTAATTGGTACAATGAAGATTAACATAATTATACCTTGACAATTCCAGCAATTCCTGCAGCAGCTAGCCTGGCAGCTCTGATGGAAACAGCGGTGCAAACTTGTTTTAATATCTCAATATCAGACTCAGATGCATTCACTCCCATTTCATTTATGACCTGATCAATCTTGTATCTGTCATGGCTGTTAAAAAAATGTTACAAAAACATGAATGAGAATTTGTATGGGTATTTCTTTGGAAAAAAAAATTTGATGATCATTAGTATAATGTAATCAAATGGTGACAAGTAAAATTAGGGAATAATTTCACGAGTTTGCCATTTGATTACACCTATTAATTTCATTTTAACAGAGTCCATTTTTGTGGGAATTTTACTCCTTGATTTTTCTCAGATAAGATCAGATTAATAAATGGAAAAATTGATTTACATCACCAGTTTTCTTCTTTTCACCTTACCTTTCAATATCTGAAACAAACTTGGTTTGAAAGCTGTCTTTTGTACTGAACTTCCCAGGCTGGCCATTAAAAAGGAGTTTGTTCATAATAAGCTCCATACAAACAACTCTGGCGATTTCACCAAGGTACATTCCAGATATCATCTTCTCAAATCTGAATGGAGTAACAAAAATTACAGGTGATGAGATGGTGGGCTGGTAGCTCGCAAAGTCTCAAGAGTGAACATAACACTTCTCTCTAAGGGCGCTTTCCATTTGCCAGAACTGACCGGCCAGACTATTCTCGTCATTTTTAATCAAAACTATCGAACCAGATCAGTCAAATCCTAAACAGTATGCACGAAGGAGATAGTTTTTTAGCAAAACCCGCTGGAAAAAGCCCATTTCATTTGCTAACTGACTGGTCTGGCCAGCCAGTTCTGACAAATGTAAAGCGCCCTAAGAGTCTAACCATGAATTGCAGCTCTCAACTGATGTCTGACTGGTGATGCATCTCTTTGTAAAATGCTTTTACAGGTATTACAAAAATTTATTTTTGACAAAACAGTAAAGTGCATCTATAATACTGTTTTTTCTTACGTCAAGGATGGTATTTGACTACAAGAAAAATACCCAGGAGTTTTCACATGCAAGTTGCATGCAGATCATGTGTTTACCATGTGCATGTCACAGACTGTATCAATGACTGACAAAATAAATACACAACATTTCACATGCAGGTCATATGGAAATCATGTGTTTACCATGTGCATGATAATTAGCTTAACTGAGGCCTGACAAGTGACATGGCCTTGAAACTGGCACATACGACAGATCACATGGCGACAAACAACATAAACATGCGTTGAGCCTGCTTATGTGCAGCATTGGGCAAATCACAAATACAATAATAAAATACAGGTGTACAGAGAGCAACAACACGCAGAACAACAACATTTAAAATTCAGACTAGGGACAATAATTATGCACTCTACATAATCTGTTACAGGTCAACATTAAATTCAGGTTGAAATTTTTTAACCTAGGTTAAAAAATTTTAACCTGAATTTAGTTTTGACCTGTAACACATTCCCCCTTAGAGGACCTCATAACTGACAAAATAAAAGTGAAACAAATGTGACACACTTAAGTATTATCTGGGTGCAAAGAAAGTCAGTTTTACAGCCTGCCATTTGGGCAAGCTGTAGCTAGCATGTACTAGCCCACAAGTCATTTCAACTAGCCCCAAAACCCTTTTTGATTAGCAGGTTTGATTACAATCCTTCTGTAATTTGAATTTCCCCAAAAAATTCACTTGCCTGTTGGGCAAGTTAAGAACAGAATTCACTAGCCCGAAACCAAAATCCACTAGCCCTGGGCTTTCTTTGCACGCTGATTATTAACTTGATTATTAGAGAGATTACGAATCCTATTTATAGCAAAATTTATAGTCAATATTGATCTGAAACAGTCATGAGGGCATAATGGCTAATTATACTCTCTTGATAACACTGAAAAAACTCTNAGCATTGGGCAAATCACAAATACAATAATAAAATACAGGTGTACAGAGAGCAACAACACGCAGAACAACAACATTTAAAATTCAGACTAGGGACAATAATTATGCACTCTACATAATCTGTTACAGGTCAACATTAAATTCAGGTTGAAATTTTTTAACCTAGGTTAAAAAATTTTAACCTGAATTTAGTTTTGACCTGTAACACATTCCCCCTTAGAGGACCTCATAACTGACAAAATAAAAGTGAAACAAATGTGACACACTTAAGTATTATCTGGGTGCAAAGAAAGTCAGTTTTACAGCCTGCCATTTGGGCAAGCTGTAGCTAGCATGTACTAGCCCACAAGTCATTTCAACTAGCCCCAAAACCCTTTTTGATTAGCAGGTTTGATTACAATCCTTCTGTAATTTGAATTTCCCCAAAAAATTCACTTGCCTGTTGGGCAAGTTAAGAACAGAATTCACTAGCCCGAAACCAAAATCCACTAGCCCTGGGCTTTCTTTGCACGCTGATTATTAACTTGATTATTAGAGAGATTACGAATCCTATTTATAGCAAAATTTATAGTCAATATTGATCTGAAACAGTCATGAGGGCATAATGGCTAATTATACTCTCTTGATAACACTGAAAAAACTCTCCAGAAACCAGCTTCCAATTAATTTCAAGGGTTTAATTGGTCTAAGAATAACTTTAGTGAAACTCGCATATCCCAAGGGCTAGACCGGGTGTTTACCTCTCTCTCCCATAATTCTCTCTTGACATTATACACATTGCACAAAACTATTAGCAAGTTTCATGACAGGGTTTATTGTTAAGAATTGTGAAAAAATGTTTATCTGCTCATTTCCTAATTTGAGAACTTGTCAACTTGAATCTGATGTTTGTTCTCAACTGCCATAAACATGATGAACTCTTTAATTGATATCTCTGGATCACTGGTAGAATTTGTAAAACAGTGCATTTTTTTGTCTCAGTTGTTTTAATCTTTAAACTGTAGCTTTATCACAACAAATGATAATCGGTTTATCGATAAACGGATGCTCGAACTAAAAAAAAAATGTTTGTTGAGAGAAACAAAATTAACTGGTCCAAAAGTTTGGACTGTGGCATCTTAAAAGGCTTGCTGAGATTTAGGCAGAGCATCATTTTCTCGACCTTGATTGAAAAAAGTGAAAAAGTGGCTCTGTTTGCAGGGTGACATAATTATATAGAAACTGTAATAATATGACCCCCACCTAAGGGCTCTTTCTTTTTGTTTTCCTTTGCTTGTTTCCTCATTTGAACAAAGAACCTATTTTTTTTACTCAAAACAATTTTATTTTAGGTATGTAATGGTCACAGAATAGATAACAGTACTTAAAAAAGCAAAAAAAAAACACTTACAACTGCATTCCAGGATTAATGGACTCTCTGTCCACTTTTTCATCAAAGGCTGTTCTTAAATGATTCCAGGAACCATTATCACCAAATGCTCCCCATTCAGTGTTGATAATAACTTCTCGTGGATCTTTATAATCGCCAGTCCACTTTGGTACATTATCAAGGCTCTCCATATAGCAGGCATTTGTTCCAGTTCCTAGAATCAATCCAGCACTGACATCAGGGTTGTTAAATGCACATGACATCATTGTTCCCGTTGTGTCATTGACAAGTGCCACAACATCCACGCTTGCATTCTGAAAATTAAAAACAGCAGTTTTTGTGTTGAGCTGACTCACTTCCAAAAGTGGGCAGTTGATCCAATGCACAATGGTCAACCATGAGGTACCTAACACTTTAGAGGCTGCATGTTGTTTTGAGGTGAGGGTTTTTGCTTGACATGTATATAGAGACATTCACATGCTCAGTAGTGTTAAATAATTATTGATTACAGGCAAATGAAATCATATTTCTACCATCTGGTAGCCATTGAATTATCTATCCTTTTCTTATCATTATAATATTATTGAATAATAAGTTTACAAGAACTCTCATAAGACAGTGATAGCAAATTATCTGTACAAAATTATTTAACCTAGGTTGATTCTCCATTTTCTTTGTCTCCTGTGGCTACTGAGAATCAAATTAGGTTTAATCAAAATTAACTCTACGTCAAATTTGACCTGTAACATATACTTAGCTTTAGAATCAAGCAGAGGTTCCCTTAAATTTTCTGACATTGTGAATGTCACAAAAGCCAGCCTTTTATACCAATCTTTTAAAGTGGAATTGTATTCACATTTTGCTAGACAATTAATTGTGACCAAATAACTTCCTTGGTAGATGTAAATCAAGAACTCACAGCCTTTAAGAAATATATAAAGTTTCTGTTAATTTTAGCAACAAGACTCACCACTCCTTTTCTAACAATTGCCTCTCTGAGAAGTTTGACAACATCTTTATTCTCTACACCAGCAGCAGAGAAACCTTTGGTCCACTTAATCAGCAAACCTGAAGTTAATGATAGCTGTTGAACTGGAAATGAAAATGTAAACCCAAGGGGTAAATGTTTAGAACCGACTCCTTGTTTCTTGACAAACAGTGCGATGGAATCAGCGATGTAATCAAAAAGTGTTATAGCATCNCTCTACGTCAAATTTGACCTGTAACATATACTTAGCTTTAGAATCAAGCAGAGGTTCCCTTAAATTTTCTGACATTGTGAATGTCACAAAAGCCAGCCTTTTATACCAATCTTTTAAAGTGGAATTGTATTCACATTTTGCTAGACAATTAATTGTGACCAAATAACTTCCTTGGTAGATGTAAATCAAGAACTCACAGCCTTTAAGAAATATATAAAGTTTCTGTTAATTTTAGCAACAAGACTCACCACTCCTTTTCTAACAATTGCCTCTCTGAGAAGTTTGACAACATCTTTATTCTCTACACCAGCAGCAGAGAAACCTTTGGTCCACTTAATCAGCAAACCTGAAGTTAATGATAGCTGTTGAACTGGAAATGAAAATGTAAACCCAAGGGGTAAATGTTTAGAACCGACTCCTTGTTTCTTGACAAACAGTGCGATGGAATCAGCGATGTAATCAAAAAGTGTTATAGCATCACTTGTCATCAAAGCTTTATCCAGTGGGTACAATTCACTTTCCATATAAACAGTGCCTTGGTCAATTGTGATCAGAAGCACCCGGAAGTTGCTACCTCCTAAGTCCAGAGCCAAAAAGGATCCTTCTTCTGTTCTATCAGGTATTGCTCGCACATAGGTTGGAAGCATTTTTACTGGGCTTTCTGCTCGTACTCGTTCATCGGCTGAGAGGCCTTTAGTAAAGTCACTAACAAGAATGTTGACAATTTCCTCAAGGGATTCACGCGATAAGTTGAATGTCTCTAAAACATTAACAATCTGCAAGAAAACAAAAAAAAGTAAACAGCTGTAAAAAGTTTTATATCATTACATAGGGATTTCCGTCCTTATTTTATGTTTTATACAGGCATTAATAATTACAGTGTTGTAAAGCACATTGAGCTTCGGAAACGTGTGATGAGTACGTCTTTATCATTATCGTTACCAAAATTATTATTATTATTACTATTATTATTAATGTAATATTAATTTGAACTCCATCATCATTAAACGATGAAAAAAGGAATGCGTTAAAAATGGCAGGAAATGGTAAACCTTGTAAGAAAATAAAAAATCGAAGGAAAAACAAGAGAAAGTGCAAGTTAAGAGGGAGGGGAAGCAGCCGGCAAATAACTGTAAATATCTAAGGGAAAGGGTAATATCCCAATACTTTAAATTACCAGTAAGCTTTAGCTTTTGTCAGCCATTAAATGTTATTGAACAGATAAATGTAGGATTTTTTAATGATCAAAATTGTTAAGAGCTTTCTATACAAAGGGTCTTGAAACTCTCAGAAGGAAAAAAATCTGATACCTTTTTTCTTCCTGTTAAGGCATCGGAAAAGGAAGTTAAAAGGCGATGTGCTAATGGTAGAACTGAAAACATCTTGGATCAAAATTCACCTATATGTCTGCAAGGAATAATGAACAAGAATAAACTTGGATACAATAATATAAATATAATAAGACAACAACACACAGTAATGTTTAATTTCAAAAGACATATTCTCTCTACAGATTAACATCCTTTTTAGTTTAAAAAAATCTCAGTTTACATATTTATTAGATCATACCCTACTGTGAAAAAGATGTTACAATAACAAATGTGCATATTTGAGGCTCTTTTAGGGTTCTGATGAGCCATATATGACAAATGAAATGGCAACAAATGACATATAATAGGTTTAAAATGCAACAGTGACAAAGACAATGACATCAGTAGAACACAGATGAAAACATGGCTACCTCCTTTATTATACGCCAAATAACACTGGTTTTGAATTTTTGACCACTGATATACATACTCCCTTTTAAGGAGGCCTCTGTATTGAAGAAATCTGACCAAGCAGCCTAGGCAGTTGAAAAATCTACGCAATTCATGGCCAACTAGGTTGCAAGGCGACTATGACCACTGGAAATATTCACATGATCGAGGATCACCCTTCTTGAATGGTATGGACCCAGTATGAGCTCAAGTTTAAAAATATTTTACAAATGTTACTAACATCAGGACCCTTGATCCTTCAAAAACAAACAATGAATTGACATTAAATATTGTTGCCTCAATCTATGGGGTTTTGTACACTGTTGTTTATTAGGCATTCATTTGTTGATAATAATTAAGTCATACTAAGGCTAAGATAAAGTGAAAATTTGCCGCTTTAGGCAATGGGGTCTGAAATAAATGCCTGGGATAATTAAATTAAGACCTTAAATAACAATAAGCTCTCCATACAACTCAATGATGCATGAGCAGAATTCTTGGCGTTTTAATTTTCAAAATTCATCGCATTTCCAAACAAAATTATGCACGCAATGAAATTTGACTATGTATACATCAACAGAGAAATATTTGCATAATTGTAATTACCAAGTGAGCTTTTACACTTTTACAACACCGGGCAAAACTTGTTTCAATACTTCAATCTTATAGCACCCTATGTAATAATACACTCAAAATAGTCCCGTACACCAGCACAGCAAATTCACAGACTGTCAAAGGGCTTACTGATAGCTTGTATTTACAGGTAACGTGGCAGCATAATGCGTATCACATCGATATCCTGAGATTTGCCTGTTCAGTACAAAATATTAAAGCCTAATAAATGAAGACTTTAACGTGCGAGCGAGGACAGTTAAGACTTTTAGAACTAGCACAAGAACTAATAACCTTAATTGGGCCATACAGTACTTAAGATCAGCGTACAAAAGACCTACTTACTGAAACGAACTATTTTGTCCCTCTTGGAATAAATATATCAGTCACTCTCTGAGTAGGCTCTAACGTTTTCGAACTAATGACTCTTTCGGTTGAGCTCAGCTTGCTTGTGTTTTTAGAAGATTACAAATCTATGAAACCCGATAGCTGCATCTACGAAACGATCTACAGCATTGACGTCTTTCGCGATCCGAGGGTGGAGACTTGACACGAAGAATCTTCGGACGTGTTCGAGTACACTCGTCTAAACCCGGTGGACAAAATGTGTACTCATACATAAAGTAGTCTGCTGCCTCTGTCTCCATTTTCAACATGGCGGACGAGTGATTTGACTGTTTTTGTTTACAATAGAGCAGTAAATAAGAAGTTGTACTGCAAAATATGAGCGCAAATGAAAAGAATCAGATGCAAGAACAGGTTTCAGGTGTAATTAACAGCTTTTTGAAAAAGAGAAAGTACACAGAGGGTGTAAGTTCATTGAAGGATTTCACAGCAGAACAGAAGGTGGAAGACATGGCATTCAAGACGACAGTTTCTAACGAAACTGGAATCACCGATGTCTTTTCTTTTGCCATTAACAGCTGCGAACCAGCCATCCTAGACGAGCAGTACTCCAGCTTAAAGTCATTTATTATAGGAACAAACCAGGCGTATAGACAAGAGCTCTCTAAGTTTTTATTTCCAATGTTTGCAAACATTTATCTGGATATAGTTGCAAAAGGTCAAGCAATTCCCGCGCAAACATTTTTTTCAAAGCACAGTGGTGAATTTTCAATCGAGCACAAAGAGGAAATACAGCATTTGCAAGTAATCACTGATTTGGAACGTGTGAAATCCAGTGATGTTGCTAGCAATTTTAGACGCAGTAAATTTGTTGTTAAACTGAGCAATAAGGTCTTCACTTACTTTCTCCAGTATCTCAGGAGTGGAGATCACGTGCTGCTGCTTCATTTACTGAATAAACATTTTAGCCTTGAAATCACTCATAGCAAACCAGGACAAAAGCAAAATGGTGATGAAATAGAAAATAATGCTGGTGAGAACAATGTATCAAGTCACCGTGCTACAAGAACAGTAAAGCAAACAAAGTCCATGACAGATAAAGAGAATGAAAACTTGGTGACTTTGAGAGAAAGCATTGGACGTATTAGGAGTGGACCTGCATGTTTACCGTCGATTTGTTTTTACACATTTGTAAATGCATCTCAAGGGTAGGGAGATAACATGCTTTGAGTTCTGGTATTAATTTGTATTGTCTAAAGGAAAGTTTCAGTTTTGTTACTTTAATTAAGCACTGTGAATTATGCATTTTCTCTTTCACAGAGACACGTTTTGACTCAGAAATTTCTTACCATTTTTCTGCCTAAGCCAAGTCCTATAGCCTGTGTGATGTTTGAGATATGCAGTGGTGGATCCCGGGGGGAGGGTCCAGGGGGTCTGGACCCCCCTCCCTGATCAGACCTGACGCTTGTTTGAGACTGAAATTCTTACATCGACAGGATCATATATTACTTTTAACTGGCTGAAATGCGCAATGCATATTGCCACTAAACTTAGTTCAAGGGATATAAAAAATGTAATTGTTTTTGGGTACCCTTCTATGATCTGTTCACTTCTGATCGCAAAGCAGTATTTCCCGCACCACAGATTGAGAAACAAGTGGTCGTCTCTGAGAAGTAATTTGCCACTAAAAAGTTCAACAGTCCCTTCTGCACCAAAGTTTGGACCTCCTCAATGAAAAATTCCTGGATCTGCCCCCGATGTGACCCCTCCATACCTTTTGTTTTCAAGTTTTGATGCATCAACACTGCTGAAAGGAGTACCTTAACATGAATAGGAAGCAAGTTGTCCCCCTCCCCCCCACCAGACAATCATCTGTAGACTGTCTTCGTTCTCTTTTAACAAGTAACTCTCAAACTTGCCAATTTAGTATTTTTAGGCTCTATCTTAGCAGTGCCAATGGATTTTCACTTACTGACCCAAGTCAAAAGTTGAAAAAAATTGGAAGGGTGTTTTTGAGGTCTGGTTGCATTGCTTGAGAAGGAGCCCATAGCAGAGTTTTTTTCGTTCCTGATATAGAGGAGTCTAATGCATTGACAGTCAAACAGATATGAGAAAAGACCAACTCTGGGTGTCCAGTGTGGTGGTGTCCATCTTACTGACAGCGTGCTTTTGTTTTCTTATTCTTAAGACTGAGTTCTGCTGCAGTATCTAAGGATGCTGGACTCATTTGCGGTGGTTTTGAAGATTCCTCTATCATGCTCTGGAGCCTTACTCCTAAGAAGCTTGTCCATCCCAAGAGAAAACCTGACATCTCTAAAATACAGCTATCCTCAGGTATCTAATGAATGGATTGAAGAAGCAATGACTGTCTACAATTTTCAATAGCTTGAGGATAGCTTACAATAAATATTTTGTTTTTTTTAGATTACTGATCATCCATTCATGTACAATTTTTTAAAGCTTATCTAGTAAATTCTCTATTATTTTCTGAGTTTAATTTTTCACATTTTCCTTCTCAGGTTAAGCAATATTTTGTAGGAAAAGGAAATCTAAAACTTTCAGACTGGAAAATATGAGGGAGAGAGGAGTAAAAAAATGAATGTATTCTCACCTTCATAGAGCCTTAAATTACATGTGAAATTATTTTTCAGGAAAATTAAACTGAAGCCCTTGTTATTTTGAAAAGACTCAAGTTGCCCTAGAATGACTGAACAGCTACAAATTTTATAGAGCTGCAGTCCCAGGGGGGTACTTCCTGGTAACAGGCTAATGGGGATGTGCCGCTAGATGGGATCGCATACTGTATTTCTTCGATTAACTGCCCTGGGCGCTTATTAAATTTTTGGACCTTGAGAGTGGGCAGGTGGGCGCTTATTCGAGGCTGGGCGCTTATTAATTTTTCACCACTTTCAGCAAGTGAGGCATGTTTATTTTGCAACAAAACAATAAATGCTAATAACAAAACACGAAGAAGTAACAATGCAAGGTTTCTGTAAAATACTCTGAAGAAAATCCATCCTCGGGGAAGTCTCTTATTAGAATTTATTCACTTAAGTGGGTGGGGTGGGGGTGAGCGCTTATTTGAGTTTGATTGGGAGGAGAAGGGGGTGGGCGCTTCTTCGAGGCTGGGCGCTTATTAACTTTTTCTGCCTTGAGGATGGGTGCTTATTCGAGTTGGGTGCTAATTCGAGGTTGGGTGCTTATTCGAATAAATACGGTATCGAAGGCTCGATTGACTATAATGGGGTTGCATTTTCATTAGAGTTACTAGAATGGGATCGCACATTTTTGGGATTTGGGGGATGGGAAAATTCAGGTAGGTGAGAATTTAAAAATGGGAAGATTTTTTGTTGTTTAACCAATGTGTCAAGTCATTTCCGGATGACCTAGTTAAAAGGCTTTATAAGGTAGATGCATAAACAGAAAGTTACTAAGTTGAGATCGCAAAAATTACATTTTCCCGAAAGTCACTAAGATGGGGTTTATATTTGCTCACAGAATAGACTATAATGGGGTTGGGGTTCTGAGAGGCCAGCAGCACATACCCAGCAAAAAATTAACCCAACTAACCCCCGGGGCTGCAGTACAATGTAAAGGCTTTAGGGATCGTTTGAAGGGGCAGCACAAACATGGTGGACGGCAGTAAGCCACCTGTTGTAGATGTTCTTAGGGTTTTTCTTTTGCAAGACATACCTGGTGTAACAGAGTCTTTAGGAATTCTGTAAGTGAAAATTAGTTGCATTTGTGAAACTATTAATGCCTTTTTGAACATAGCACTTGTTTGTTGACCTTCATGTTGTCTCTCCATATGATCCAAGAAGCTTTTCACTCATTTAGAATATGGCAGCATCTCTTATTGAGTCTGGGTTGCTTGTGATTCCACTGATGTGTTAAAATGGGACTCCAATAAATGTGATTAAGTGAAAAACTACCTTACGGAAACAACCTTTAACAAAGCTGCAACCATAGTCACAGATGTTTTGCATCTGGTACTCTGAAGAAACTTTAAGACCAAGCAATTTTCATGTTAGCCAGTGATGTAATAATGTGCTTATTTTTTTCTTCTTTTAGACCTGGTTTCAGTATCATCTAAACTGGAAACAGTCTCTAGTGAGTGTGTTTCTCTTCAAGGTCACTGTGGCTCAGTTTACAGCACACAATTTTCACCGGACAGCTCAATTTTACTCTCAGCATCAGAGGATACTTCAGGTACTAAGATTAAGGGCTTTTTCTTAGAGCAGAGCCTTGGTTGTTATCGCCTCACACATCTCACATAACATCGCTTGGGTTGGTTATGGTAAGCGCATAAATGGACCAATATGGTGGCAGCAGGGTTGGCCTTGTATGCTGACATCCGAGCTTACTGTTAATATTTAAAGGGGGTGTGTCACGCTATTTTTTATCTTTTTAAAAACCTAAAACATCTCTTTGCATCAATTCAGTTCCAAAAATTATGCTTAAGGTTTGTTATTTAAGGCTATACTTAGGCAATGAAAGTGACCCTGTCTTCTGCTGCTATGGATGCCAAGGATGGACGTGGATTGAAACTTTTTAAGTTTTAATGTCTGTGTCTGTAAAAATTACCAAAACAATATTATGATGTTTGATATCTTCCTGTACAGGAGCATTTTGTGTATGGGTTAAAGGCATCAAGTAATGACTTCAGCACAGAATTGACCTAAAACAGGGACATGTACTGTTGTTTTTTCATCTACGACACAGCTATAGGCAGTGAACAAACGTCTTTTCAACTAAAATCAGCATTTACTTTTTTAAAATTTTTAATTTATCGAAATTCAGGTTATTTGAAACCGCCGAGTTTCATCAAGTTGCCAGAAAATACAAGTTACTGCCAAGTATTACCAGACCATGAAAAAACTGCAAAGTGCGCGCTTACTTAAAACGAACATTTACTTTACAACTTTTAAAAGTGACACGACCTCGTGCGTCTTCCGGTGCGAAAGATGATGATCAAGATGGGGTGCTAGATTCATCCTGATTTCATTATTTTTGTAACTGCTTTTATAACGTTGGAAAATTCAAATCCCGAAGTCTAACTGTTGATCATTTGTGGATCTAAGTATAATACTTCAGTTCAAAACGATTTTCGTCGAACACGTTTGAGCCCCCACTGTTGTTAAAACCTGTTCTATCTGCTCGTTTTGGGGCATTTCTGGGGGCGTTTCCTGGGTATACATGATAGAGTTGTGCAGAAATTTAAAATTATGGTACAGCTTTTTTCAAAGACGTGTTTCAGCGAGGCTCTTGCTATTTTTATTTTGAAGATGATGCTTTTTTGGATTTTAATTTGGCAAAAATTTCGGAACAAAAACTTGGTGGTAAGACCCCGGGAAAGACCAAGATAAGTCTTGCACGCGACTGCTCACTTGCCAAAACATATGTTATAATGCAGTGCTCACATAATCACACGACACGTTTTACATGCACGTGACCCTATGGCCGATAGCCCGGCTGGGAGTTCCTCACTCATTTTCACAGGCGGCACTGTCGAGGTTTCAATGAAATATGATTTGACAAAAAAAAGAGGTTTTGTTGAGTGTCTTTGCGTAACTCCAGGAGCAGGCTATTTGCACAAAATTAAAACCTTGCCTTGTTCAGCATCAAATAATCACTGACTTCTCTTTTATCCATGACGGAGGATCGGGTTTTATCTTTGTCTTATTTTTGCATGTTTTCGTCCCAGTGACATGGAACAGTCAGATGTCTGAGAACCTCGAATTCATCCGAAGGAAACTTCCTGATTAATATCAATGCATTGAATGGAGCGCATACACTCTTTTTTTTATTTATATAAGAATATATTTTATAAGAATATCGGGGCGAAATTTTAAGAATATTTAAAGAAAAAAACCCGCGTCTGAGATTTTGAAAAAGAATTAATTTTGTGTGTTGATGATTTGCAAATACGTACAATTATATGCTTATGACTTAACCGTATAAAATTATTGCTTTCTCTAAACTAGCCAACAAAACGAAAAACCCTGCACTAACTGTAATTGATACTCAATAAAAGTAACTTAAACGTAAATGTCATACTCTACAATTTTTAACTAATTCAAGAATATTTTCAGCCGTTAAAATTGGCAAAGAATAAGAATATTTAGCTTGGGCCGGAAAAACAACATTTTTATTAAAAAGACTTGTATAGGTGGACAAACATTGCCCAGGATGGAAAACAGGGGCTCAAATCGGAGATCTTACACTTGAAAATGATAAAATTTGTAGGCAGTGAAAGCTGTGAATATGATTGCTCCTCTAGACTTAACGTACCGGGTAGGATATAGAAAGATCTCTCATTGTGAAAACGTTTATTTTACATGTACTTGGAAACAGCTGATACTGCAAAAGCAGGCTGAAAAACTGATCAACAACGTTCCTAAATAATTGTCATTCACAATACTTAACTTTGGTCAAACTGGCCTCAAATGAAATGGTGATATTTTTTCACAGGGATTCGTGTATAATACTGGTAACTGATTACATGTCAAAGCCTTCTTTCCAACTACAACAAGGTTTCAGTGTTCTAGCTTTACATATTGAGTCACGTGAAGAGCTAATTGTCTCAAGTGGAAATCCTAGTGAAGATTGTGTAACATAACACAGGAAACGTGCAGGGTAGTGTGCATGTGTGAGAGCTTGTGCTGCTTGCATAACTAATTCGCGCGGAGTGCTTCAAGTGATTTCACTACAACAGTTAACCCTTTAAGCCCTAAAAGTGATCAACATCAAATTTCTCCTTGTAAAATCAATGCTCTGTAAAACAGAGTGGTCATGAGAGTTACGGACATGATCACACAAAATTTGCTTGATATTTTATCAACTTCTCCCCACTGCTTCTGTGGGAAATGAATAGGTTAAGAAGTTGTACTGCAAAATATGAGCGCAAATGAAAAGAATCAGATGCAAGAACAGGTTTCAGGTGTAATTAACAGCTTTTTGAAAAAGAGAAAGTACACAGAGGGTGTAAGTTCATTGAAGGATTTCACAGCAGAACAGAAGGTGGAAGACATGGCATTCAAGACGACAGTTTCTAACGAAACTGGAATCACCGATGTCTTTTCTTTTGCCATTAACAGCTGCGAACCAGCCATCCTAGACGAGCAGTACTCCAGCTTAAAGTCATTTATTATAGGAACAAACCAGGCGTATAGACAAGAGCTCTCTAAGTTTTTATTTCCAATGTTTGCAAACATTTATCTGGATATAGTTGCAAAAGGTCAAGCAATTCCCGCGCAAACATTTTTTTCAAAGCACAGTGGTGAATTTTCAATCGAGCACAAAGAGGAAATACAGCATTTGCAAGTAATCACTGATTTGGAACGTGTGAAATCCAGTGATGTTGCTAGCAATTTTAGACGCAGTAAATTTGTTGTTAAACTGAGCAATAAGGTCTTCACCTACTTTCTCCAGTATCTCAGGAGTGGAGATCACGTGCTGCTGCTTCATTTACTGAATAAACATTTTAGCCTTGAAATCACTCATAGCAAACCAGGACAAAAGCAAAATGGTGATGAAATAGAAAATAATGCTGGTGAGAACAATGTATCAAGTCACCGTGCTACAAGAACAGTAAAGCAAACAAAGTCCATGACAGATAAAGAGAATGAAAACTTGGTGACTTTGAGAGAAAGCATTGGACGTATTAGGAGTGGACCTGCATGTTTACCGTCGATTTGTTTTTACACATTTGTAAATGCATCTCAAGGGTAGGGAGATAGCATGCTTTGAGTTCTGGTATTAATTTGTATTGTCTACAGGAAAGTTTCAGTTTTGTTACTTTAATTAAGCACTGTGAATTATGCATTTTCTCTTTCACAGAGACACATTTTGACTCAGAAATTTCTTACCATTTTTCTGCCTAAGCCAAGTCCTATAGCCTGTGTGATGTTTGAGATATGCAGTGGTGGATCCAGGGGGAGGGTCCAGGGGGTGTGGACCCCCCTCCCCGATCAGACCTGACGCTTGTTTGAGACTGAAATTCTTACATCGACAGGATCATATATTACTTTTACCTGGCTGAAATGCGCAATGCATTTTGCCACTAAACTTAGTTCAAGGGATATAAAAAAAGTAATTTTTTTTTGGGTACCCTTCTATGATCTGTTCGCTTCTGATCGCAAAGCAGTATTTCCCGCGCCACAGATTGAGAAACAAGTGGTCGTCTCTGAGAAGTAATTTGCCACTAAAAAGTTCAACAGTCCCTTCTGCACCAAAGTTTGGACCTCCTCAATTAAAAATTCCTGGATCTCCCCCCGATATGACCCCTCCATACCTTTTGTTTTCAAGCTTTGATGCATCAACACTGCTGAAAGGAGTACCTTAACATGAATAGGAAGCAAGTTGTCCCCCCCCCCACCACCAGACAATCAACTGTAGACTGTCTTCATTCTCTTTTAACAAGTAACTCTCAAACTTGCCAATTTAGTATTTTTAGGCTCTATCTCAGCAGTGCCAATGGATTTTCACTAACTGACCCAAGTCAAAAGTTGCAAAAAAATTGGAAGGGTGTTTTTGAGGTCGGGTTGCATTGCTTGAGAAGGAGCCATAGCAGAGTTTTTTTCGTTCCTGATATAGAGGAGTCTAATGCATTGACAGTCAAACAGATATGAGCAAAGACCAACTCTGGGTGTCCAGTGTGGTGGTGTCCATCTTACTGACAGCATGCTTTTGTTTTCTTATTCTTAAGACTGAGTTCTGCTGCAGTATCTAAGGATGCTGGACTCATTTGCGGTGGTTTTGAAGATTCCTCTATCATGCTCTGGAGCCTTACTCCTAAGAAGCTTGTCCATCCCAAGAGAAAACCTGACATCTCTAAAATACAGCTATCCTCAGGTATCTAATGAATGGATTGAAGAAGCAATGACTGTCTACAATTTTCAATAGCTTGAGGATAGCTTACAATAAATATTTTGTTTTTTTTAGATTACTGATCATCCATTCATGTACAATTTTTTAAAGCTTATCTAGTAAATTCTCTATTATTTTCTGAGTTTAATTTTTCACATTTTCCTTCTCAGGTTAAGCAATATTTTGTAGGAAAAGGAAATCTAAAACTTTCAGACTGGAAAATATGAGGGAGAGAGGAGTAAAAAAATGAATGTATTCTCACCTTCATAGAGCCTTAAATTACATGTGAAATTATTTTTCAGGAAAATTAAACTGAAGCCCTTGTTATTTTGAAAAGACTCAAGTTGCCCTAGAATGACTGAACAGCTACAAATTTTATAGAGCTGCAGTCCCAGGGGGGTACTTCCTGGTAACAGGCTAATGGGGATGTGCCGCTAGATGGGATCGCATACTGTATTTCTTCGATTAACTGCCCTGGGCGCTTATTAAATTTTTGGACCTTGAGAGTGGGCAGGTGGGCGCTTATTCGAGGCTGGGCGCTTATTAATTTTTCACCACTTTCAGCAAGTGAGGCATGTTTATTTTGCAACAAAACAATAAATGCTAATAACAAAACACGAAGAAGTAACAATGCAAGGTTTCTGTAAAATACTCTGAAGAAAATCCATCCTCGGGGAAGTCTCTTATTAGAATTTATTCACTTAAGTGGGTGGGGTGGGGGTGAGCGCTTATTTGAGTTTGATTGGGAGGAGAAGGGGGTGGGCGCTTCTTCGAGGCTGGGCGCTTATTAACTTTTTCTGCCTTGAGGATGGGTGCTTATTCGAGTTGGGTGCTAATTCGAGGTTGGGTGCTTATTCGAATAAATACGGTATCGAAGGCTCGATTGACTATAATGGGGTTGCATTTTCATTAGAGTTACTAGAATGGGATCGCACATTTTTGGGATTTGGGGGATGGGAAAATTCAGGTAGGTGAGAATTTAAAAATGGGAAGATTTTTTGTTGTTTAACCAATGTGTCAAGTCATTTCCGGATGACCTAGTTAAAAGGCTTTATAAGGTAGATGCATAAACAGAAAGTTACTAAGTTGAGATCGCAAAAATTACATTTTCCCGAAAGTCACTAAGATGGGGTTTATATTTGCTCACAGAATAGACTATAATGGGGTTGGGGTTCTGAGAGGCCAGCAGCACATACCCAGCAAAAAATTAACCCAACTAACCCCCGGGGCTGCAGTACAATGTAAAGGCTTTAGGGATCGTTTGAAGGGGCAGCACAAACATGGTGGACGGCAGTAAGCCACCTGTTGTAGATGTTCTTAGGGTTTTTCTTTTGCAAGACATACCTGGTGTAACAGAGTCTTTAGGAATTCTGTAAGTGAAAATTAGTTGCATTTGTGAAACTATTAATGCCTTTTTGAACATAGCACTTGTTTGTTGACCTTCATGTTGTCTCTCCATATGATCCAAGAAGCTTTTCACTCATTTAGAATATGGCAGCATCTCTTATTGAGTCTGGGTTGCTTGTGATTCCACTGATGTGTTAAAATGGGACTCCAATAAATGTGATTAAGTGAAAAACTACCTTACGGAAACAACCTTTAACAAAGCTGCAACCATAGTCACAGATGTTTTGCATCTGGTACTCTGAAGAAACTTTAAGACCAAGCAATTTTCATGTTAGCCAGTGATGTAATAATGTGCTTATTTTTTTCTTCTTTTAGACCTGGTTTCAGTATCATCTAAACTGGAAACAGTCTCTAGTGAGTGTGTTTCTCTTCAAGGTCACTGTGGCTCAGTTTACAGCACACAATTTTCACCGGACAGCTCAATTTTACTCTCAGCATCAGAGGATACTTCAGGTACTAAGATTAAGGGCTTTTTCTTAGAGCAGAGCCTTGGTTGTTATCGCCTCACACATCTCACATAACATCGCTTGGGTTGGTTATGGTAAGCGCATAAATGGACCAATATGGTGGCAGCAGGGTTGGCCTTGTATGCTGACATCCGAGCTTACTGTTAATATTTAAAGGGGGTGTGTCACGCTATTTTTTATCTTTTTAAAAACCTAAAACATCTCTTTGCATCAATTCAGTTCCAAAAATTATGCTTAAGGTTTGTTATTTAAGGCTATACTTAGGCAATGAAAGTGACCCTGTCTTCTGCTGCTATGGATGCCAAGGATGGACGTGGATTGAAACTTTTTAAGTTTTAATGTCTGTGTCTGTAAAAATTACCAAAACAATATTATGATGTTTGATATCTTCCTGTACAGGAGCATTTTGTGTATGGGTTAAAGGCATCAAGTAATGACTTCAGCACAGAATTGACCTAAAACAGGGACATGTACTGTTGTTTTTTCATCTACGACACAGCTATAGGCAGTGAACAAACGTCTTTTCAACTAAAATCAGCATTTACTTTTTTAAAATTTTTAATTTATCGAAATTCAGGTTATTTGAAACCGCCGAGTTTCATCAAGTTGCCAGAAAATACAAGTTACTGCCAAGTATTACCAGACCATGAAAAAACTGCAAAGTGCGCGCTTACTTAAAAACGAACATTTACTTTACAACTTTTAAAAGTGACACGACCTCGTGCGTCTTCCGGTGCGAAGGATGATGATCAAGATGGGGTGCTAGATTCACCCTGATTTCATCATTTTTGTAACTACTTTTATAACGTTGGAAAATTCAAATCCCGAAGTCTAACTGTTGATCATTTGTGGATTTAAGTATAATACTTCAGTTCAAAACGATTTTCGTCAAACACGTTTGAGCCCCCACTGTTGTTAAAACCTGTTCCATCTGCTCGTTTTGGGGCATTTCTGGGGGCGTTTCCTGGGTATACATGATACAGTTGTGCAGAAATTTAAAATTATGGTACAGCTTTTTTCAAAGACGTGTTTCGGCGAGGCTCTTGCTATTTTTATTTTGAAGATGATGCTTTTTTGGATTTTAATTTGGCAAAAATTTCGGAACAAAAACTTGGTGGTAAGACCCCGGGAAAGACCAAGATAAGTCTTGCACGCGACTGCTCACTTGTCAAAACATATGTTATAATGCAGTGCTCACATAATCACACGACACGTTTTACATGCACGTGACCCTATGGCCGATCGCCCGGCTGGGAGTTCCTCACTCATTTTCACAGGCGGCACTGTCGAGGTTTCAATGAAATGTGATTTGACAAAAAAAAAGGTTTTGTTGAGTGTCTTTGCGTAACTCCAGGAGCAGGCTATTTGCACAAAATTAAAACCTTGCCTTGTTCAGCATCAAATAATCACTGACTTCTCTTTTATCCATGACGGAGGATCGGGTTTTATCTTTGCCTTATTTTTGCATGTTTTCGTCCCAGTGACATGGAACAGTCAGATGTCTGAGAACTTCGAATTCATCCGAAGGAAACTTCCTGATTAATATCAATGCATTGAATGGAGCGCATACACTCTTTTTTTTTATTTATATAAGAATATATTTTATAAGAATATCGGGGCGAAATTTTAAGAATATTTAAAGAAAAAAACCCGCGTCTGAGATTTTGAAAAAGAATTAATTTTGTGTGTTGATGATTTGCAAATACGTACAATTATATGCTTATGACTTAACCGTATAAAATTATTGCTTTCTCTAAACTAGCCAACAAAACGAAAAACCCTGCACTAACTGTAATTGATACTCAATAAAAGTAACTTAAACGTAAATGTCATACACTACAATTTTTAACTAATTCAAGAACATTTTCAGCCGTTAAAATCGGCAAAGAATAAGAATATTTAGCTTGGGCCGGAAAAACAACATTTTTATTAAAAAGACTTGTATAGGTGGAAAAAACATTGCCCAGGATGGAGAACAGGGGCTCAAATCGGAGATCTTACACTTGAAAATGATAAAATTTGTAGGCAGTGAAAGCTGTGAATATGATTGCTCCTCTAGACTTAACGTACCGGGTAGGATATAGAAAGATCTCTCATTGTGAAAACGTTTATTTTACATGTACTTGGAAACAGCTGATACTGCAAAAGCAGGCTGAAAAACTGATCAACAACGTTCCTAAATAATTGTCATTCACAATACTTAACTTTGGTCAAACTGGCCTCAAATGAAATGGTGATATTTTTTCACAGGGATTCGTGTATAATACTGGTAACTGATTACATGTCAAAGCCTTCTTTCCAACTACAACAAGGTTTCAGTGTTCTAGCTTTACATATTGAGTCACGTGAAGAGCTAATTGTCTCAAGTGGAAATCCTAGTGAAGATTGTGTAACATAACACAGGAAACGTGCAGGGTAGTGTGCATGTGTGAGAGCTTGTGCTGCTTGCATAACTAATTCGCGCGGAGTGCTTCAAGTGATTTCACTACAACAGTTAACCCTTTAAGCCCTAAAAGTGATCAACATCAAATTTCTCCTTGTAAAATCAATGCTCTGTAAAACAGAGTGGTCATGAGAGTTACGGACATGATCACACAAAATTTGCTTGATATTTTATCAACTTCTCCCCACTGCTTCTGTGGGAAATGAATAGGGACAACAAATGAGAATTCAAATTTTGATCTTAGGCTTTAAAGGGTTACTAGACGTAATTAACGAGGTCTAATTTTTCCTTGGCGCGTTTCCGTAAGAAAGGTATTCCGAAAGAAGAATTTACATCAAACTAACTGTAAAAATCACTTGTTTAGCTAATGAGGCAGGTATCCACTGCCTTTAATCGTCCGCAACCCTGCCAGGGTTGCAGCCGACATCAGGGTATTGCAGGCTATACAAAGCTGATATGCATTACTCACATCTTCATAGCACTGCGTGTCTAAACACTCGATAGATGAGATCTGTTAAATCTTTCTTTGTCGAGGAATTCTGGCAATCGAATGCACCTCATGTTTGAGCGAGATGTGCTGGCGTTTTTCCCCTCCCTTTTTGTGCTTTTTCTAAAAAATCTTTTCAACATGTTGGGAATAAAGTAAGTGAATTAAATTCATGCTACTTACAGTGCTTGTGACTTGCGGATTTCTCGTTCCTCGCTTTTCAGTGCAGCCTCGCAAACTGCAGTTAGATGTTTGAAGAGATTTGAATGTTTATACTGAGATCGCACTATAGCTCGCGTGCCATGCTTTGCTGGTATTAAGTAACACAGGTGACCTTTTCCCTTTTCTCAGTTAACTTCTCCTGTTTCAATTGTTTACGTCGAGCCTTGACCTTGTTGTTCACGTGTTCTTTGAATATCTAGTTAATCCAAATAGTGAGCTACTGATATGTTTGATTCAAGTAGCGACGTACCATCCTTGCACACCGAAGCCAAATGGAAGGGCTTTGCCGTTGCACAAACACATCTGTAAGACTTAAGCATCAGAGAAAATGGTCGTGTTCAGATCAGTGATGTCAAAAACGTCTTACCTAACGGCAAAAAAAAAAATGTTCGCAAAAAGTGGGCCATTCCAAAAGAGATTAGCCTTGTTTAGAAGTATCTATCTTTTATTCAGTTCAAAACGACTAGTTTTTTGTACGTTTTCAAACAAAAACCTCTCGTCCATTGAAGCGTTCTTCAGTTCATACGTTTCTGTTTAAAAACGGATGAATGTGAGGTAGATTGGTACAATTCTCCTTCTACTCCTCCAAAATGAACTGCTTGGTGGCGGCTTGTAAAATTGCTTCCCACCAGAGTCTTGCACCAAACACTTTTGTCCTGGTATAACACAGAAAGAATCTCCAAGGATTACTTGTAGTATGACATTTGTCTACTGCTTCGATTTTCGAGACCGACAGTGAAAGTAGTCAGCTCATGATTATGTTAACTCTTTCCCGGGCTGACTTACCAAAATGTTGAACACGAACTTGGAAAAATAGTTTCGTTTTCAAATAAGAACAATGTGCCCCAAACAACAAGAGCAGCACGTTCCATTTGTATTTTGTCTCTTTCTTTTTTCCTTGTAATTTCGAGAAAATGTCATATTCAATCAGTTACAGTTCCCTGAAAACTGATGTGCAGCTCAGTAGCTTTAATTTGAATGGTTTCACTTTTTTTATTTTCTCCACAATCTCAAACGATTTCAAAAGTTAGAACAAGTCCGTACAACATAACTTCACGACGCTCAGGAAAAAGTCTGGAAAAAACAAGGTCCCAATAAGCCAAGATTTTATAGACAGTTTTTTTGTAGTAGTAGTAGAGCACCACATGCCCCGAGCTTTCCTTAGGAGTTAGAAAGATGATAATCATTTAGTTTCCTGAGCAAAGAGAGGTCCTGAATTGTTATACGTGTGCTTACAAATTGCGAGTGTCGGTGATCGGTTATCGAAGACGATTTCCAGTTGCCTGAAATCCAAGAGTAGTTTGTCATCCGTGCGATGATGTTACATCTCATTGACTTAAAGCCAAGAAGAAGCTAAATTTAAACCGAAGTCGTGATATTCCCCTTGACGAGGGCGGATATGGTGTGGTGTGGGAGTTGCCTTCTGTTTCAGCTGACATTAAAAGATATTTCCGGCGCTCATATCATTGTTGTAGACGAAGTCTTAGGATACATTTTACTGATGAAAAAACCTTAGAGTGTAATACATTTCACCGTTTTGTTTGTCAATATCGAATTGATATTACTATAGAATCGCAAATTTTGCCTACTGAGTGCTCTCTTTGTAACTAGGGAGAATTTGCTTCCCTCCTCATCTTCCAAAGGGTTGCTCAATTCCTAATGAAAGAGAATTCAATTAACCTTTAGCCTTGAGATTCCATGAAAACTCTTCAATTGGACACAGTGTCTTTAAAAAGGCATCGACCATTTTCTCCAGTATGGTGAAAAATCCGCCTTGTAAAATCAGCAACGGATGTCTCAAGTAGTTAACCCTAAAAGCAAGTAGGACATTCGGCATTTAAATTGTCCCACTACATAATATTATTGTCTCCTGCAGCCGTAAAACCTGGAACAACTGAAGCCCTTTTGGAAAGATTTGGAGGAAATCATGATAACAGGTGCTCTCGACACGTGCAAAGCTGTACTATGAAATTTCATCTGCGCAATTATTGTTTGGAACGGATGCGACTCCTATTCACTCGTTTTATCCCAGCACGTGCTAAGCTACGCGTTGGGAGGCCTTACGTCCTTTACAGCTCGAGCTGTGATCATCGTATTTCAATATGAGCACGTGCATGCAAAGAAGACCTCCAACGTAATCGCGTCGCGTTACTATTAAGTTGAAGAATCAATACGTGAGATATGTTATGACAATGTGAGTGTGCGTAATTGTAAGTTATCTTTGTGTGAAATGCTTGTTTTGTTGCGCTTCGATTTCGCTAGGCCAGCTCTGGGTGGGGGTCAGGGGAGGGGCAAATTGCGAAGGGATCTCCTTTATTTGGATTGAACGGGGACGTGCGGCTGAACGAAGCATGTTTTTGAAACAAGTTAACACAGGCTAGATAGAGCAAGCCGTAGATTTGTTGTTGTTGTTGTTCTTTTTATCCTCTCCGGCTCCTTACACTGAACTCTAACTGAAGAAAACGTGAACACAGACTATCCTTATTCTGAGTTTTTCCTCTTACTTTACGTTCCCATCTATAGGAGAGTATCAGCCTCAACAGGGCAGTGCTGTGTCAAATGTGTAGCCTCTGCTTTCGCGTGACTTCTCGTACCTCCCCCAAATGGAGAACTTGCTCGCAGGCTATCAAGTGTAACGTCTTTTCTGCCTCCTCACCCAATCACCCACCCACCCACCCCGGGAAAGTCTTTGGAGTTTGGTTCTTTTCCGTTCCTCCCTCACTATGTCTTCTCTTGTCCCCTCTTCCAGGACAAAGTCACCGGCGCGCCGCATCCACACAGCACATTATAATTTTGAAAGTCGAGATTTTAAACTACGCAGAAAAAAAGACTAGTTCAAACAGCAGCATTAAATCATATGGTAGACTGCTTCGCAGTCCCTCGGGCTGGAGTTACGCAATGTTCCCAGTCCCAAAGCGTGAGTTCGAATTCTTCTGGGGCTGGGTGATCTGGGAGAGTGCGATGATATGATTCACCTGTTTGTCTCCTTTGAGGGGTCTTTGCCGCTTTGCTTTGGCGTAACTGAGTGGAAATTTTGCCCAAAAAATGACCTCTTGATGTTCATATGTTCAAAGTCCAGCTGAGAACATTTTATATGATATTTAATTTTAAAAAAAAGTTTGGCATATTTGTGGCTCATCTTGCAATTTCAAAACCGTGTACCTCCAGTGATAAGTTGAGAGAAAGCCTGTGTGAAGGAGACTACTGAAAACAGTTGGTGGAGTTCAGTTCCCAATGTGATAGACTGCGAGCAGTCTTCCTTTTGCTCTAACATATGTGGAACGAAGTGGAAAGGCGAGCGCGATATGCAAGTTGTGCTCGTATAACGCGCTCACTTGTTTAAATCTTTGCACAGATTTTATAGCAAAAGGAAGACTTTTCGCAGTGTACCAGTCTTAAAGTGTTTAAATCTGGCCATAGTTCGAACTATAATATTATAACCAGCCGCAAAGTCCGCAAATTCTATTCACTTCCCGGTTAGACTGGAAACACCCGCGTTGTTTCATACAATTTCAGTTATTTCTGCAGTCCTTATAGAATTGCCAATAATTGCTAAAAGTAATAATAATAATAAAAGGTTCTAATGCTGCCTTTCATGCGTTTGTCTGAACAGTTCGTTTGTGGAGCCTTCATTCATACAACAACGTAGTAGCATACAAAGGACATAATTTTCCCGTCTGGAGCCTGGACATCAGCCCACAGTGCCTGTACTTTGCCACTGCATCCCAGGACCGCACGGCCAGGCTTTGGAACTTTGAATATACTTTTCCCTTAAGAATATTTGCAGGACACCTACAAGACGTCGATGTAAGTTTTACTTTGTGCTCAGATAACTAGAAAGTGTGGCTTGTGACTCTGTAGTCTTCAACTTTACACGGCTCGAACAAAACTTGAATTCCAGATTGTCCTTTGGGCAAGAAGCTCCACATTTTACTTTACAAGGCCACTTCTTCCTTAGTTAATGATTTAGTTAGCAGATGACTTGCCGGAACATACGGTGGAATGCTAACAGCTCTCTTAAGTGGGGGTGGGGGAGGGGGGAGAGGGGGTAAAACGTACACCGTCTGATAAAAAATGGGCCTAGTAAGGAAAACGTCTCAAGCCATTTTACAATTTCTTGTAGAGATTTTAAAAATGGCTTTTTTTTTCAGTGCGTGAAATTTCATCATAATTGCACGTACCTCGCCACAGCCTCAGCCGACCGAACATGTCGACTGTGGGACCTACAATCTGGAAACTGCGTCAGGCTTTTCACTGGACATAAGGTACGTTACTACTGTACACCCTCCAATGAGCGACCGCGCCCAGCCAGTAATCGCCCACCCCTTGCCGAATAAACTCTCATCCCTTTGCCAAACTAGCAAATGGGCACTTCTGTCGATTAAGCGACCCTTCCTCTTTTCACCCCTCCCCTCCTAGTTATCTCCTCCAATGCGAGGTTCTAGCTTAATTGTAGTTCATTTTGTTGAGGTAAGGAAAAAAGAAAATGAAAAACTTGTATATTTACCATTTTCACATAGACCCTAATGCATCTTGATTACCGCCCAAAATTTTGCATAAACATTAGGGCCATTTATACGCGGAAAAGTAAGACGCGTCTTTCATTAGACGCGTCCTAAATATTAAAGACGCAAACGTTCCCGTATAAACGGCACATTAAGACGCGACTTATCGAAGAACAGGTGCTAGGGGCTGTTCTTAGATAAGACGCGTCTTAGCTAAATTTCAAATGAAATATGCAGTTTATACGGGATAGTTTGAGTCTTATTTAGGAGGCGTTCTATGTAAGACGCGTCTTATTTTTCATCGTTTAAACGGCCCTATTGTTTCTATTTTCACCTGGGTATTACAGTCGTCCTAAGAGAAATCGAAGACAATTGTTATACCCATTTTATAGATCCGATATGCTGTTCATTTTGCGTGGTTTTGTCCATGTTTCTAAGGTTGGTTTTGGCCATCCTATACACTTTCTTTGCGAGACATCAACGAGGCACGGAGATACTAGCAGAAATGTACTCTAAAATCTGAATTGAAATAATGATATGATTGATTGATTGATTGACACTTGGACTCTTGCTTTTCCGGAGACACGTGAGATGGCGTGGTTCGGTGGGTGTTGAAGTTCGATGTGAGGGCTTAAAATAGAGTGAGCGGGTATTTTCTCAGCAGAGCTTCTGTTCTTTCTGTTGACGCGCTGTCCTGACGAGCCACAATAATATCGAAACAGCTGTCTATGGCTACAACCTCGCTCTGGGGTTCTTTCGGTGTCGTGTTGACGTCTTGCAAAGATAATTTTCATGTCATACGATCAGCTTTGCAAATTTCATTGTGTCGATGGTTTTGCCAATTTTTTTTTTATTAAATGTGGTGCATTGTGGTCTATGTGAAATGGTGAATAGCCTGTATAAGATTCAAGACTCCGAAAACCACACCCTGTTAAGTGGCACATATCGTATTTACTTGAATAAGCGCCGCCCTCGAATGCGCGCCGTAGTTGGGACAAATTGTTAATAAGCGCCGCGGCCCTGATATAAACAAAATCAAAAGACGTTAATTCTGTTAGTTTAATACGGATAATAATACCGTTGGTAAAACAATTTTTTCACGTCCAACTTTCCTAAACGGCTCCTTCAAATAAGCACAACATTTAAAGGGCTTATTCGAGTAAATACGGTACGCGCTTAGGATAAATCGGGGAGTGCTCTCCCTGCCGTCCCTCGGGTAAAATAGGTTCTGATCTCCACTTATTAAGCCGTAAAGGTTTCATTATTGGGTATACAATTCTCATTTGGAGGAGGCTTACGCTGTTTTGCATCATATACCATAAATCCTCTATTAATACCCCCTCTCTTTTAAGCCCCTCCCTCTCCCCTCCCCCTTATTATTCTTCACAAATAGATGATAGACTGTATAAATCAATCACGACTGTAAAACTTCATTTTAGTGGAGTGATCCAGGATGGTTTATTCACGTGTTGGAAGGTCGGATTTGTTTTTGATCCTCAGCTGTATGAACTCCAACTTCCTGTATTGAGCTTTTCCACTTTTCATTCTGGTTCTTTATGGAGAGCTGATACCACCATCTTTGCTAAATTAAATAAGCCCCCCCCCCTCTCTAATACGCTCCCCGTCTCTATTAAGCCCCCCTCAAAGGTGTTTGAAATAAATATGCCCCCAGGGGAGCTAATAGAGGATTTACGGTAATAATAGTTAATCTATGTTTGCTTGAAGGGTTCGATACACGATCTGGCAATTTCCCCCGACGGACAGTACCTGGTGTCAGCGGGAGAGGACCGGCGCATTCTTCTGTGGGACCTGTCCGCTGGAAGTATGGTTAAAGAGTTGCGCGGGCACTCGGATTCTGTATATAGTCTCGCTTTTAGCGCAGATGGGACGCTGTTAGCCTCTGGGGGTCTGGACAGTAGTGTAAGGATATGGGATTTTGGACTAGCTGTCAAGACTTGTAATAACAGCAGTGGCGCAAATGCCAATGCTTCTGCTGAACTGATGGCTTCTTTCTCCACTAAAAACTGTTCCGTTCACTGCGTGCAGTTCAACAGTTGCAATTTGGTATTTGCAGCGGGCTCGCAAATGACATGAACAGCGGGGATGACGCAGAGAATAAAACAAGCCCAACCTAAGAAAACAGCCGACATTGCGCGACGCCACCATTGGTTTCCTCGCGAAGTGACGTCTGAGAAACGAGCAGGAAATGACGTGTCACTATCCAGGTCTAAGTAGCGCTTCTGATTGGTTGTGGCGCAAGAACATTTTGCTTCAACCAATCAGAAGTACTACCCAGATCTGGGTAATGACAGGTCATCAGTACAGAATTTCTGCGCTCGTTGCTCACACGTCTTTTCGCCGGAAACCAGTGATGGCGTCTCAAAACGTCGGCTGTTCTCTCAGGCTAAAACAAACCAAACCATTTGCTTTTGTTGGAAGCTGGAAGAATGATAAAACGGATGATAGCTTTCACGGGTTCTCTTCGTCTGCTGCTAGTGTTTCTCTCAGCATTTCTCTCCTGTTCCTATACGCTAATAACCCCAACAAAATATTCGTGAAACACGACAAGTTGAGGCACGGATGAGCTGAAAACTGTTTTTCCTTTTTTGTTGTTTACTTATCTGAGACCGTTGTTTTTAACGGCGAGTTAAAGCGTTTGGAGACATCACTGTTTGTCGGGAATGTGTAATTTTGTCAGTTTTGTCATTAGACTAATTTATTAACCTCCTTTCCTTTATGTTATAGAGAGTAATTCCTAAAACTAAACAAAATGCATTGACCAAACGGCCGTCAAACAGTCCCTTTCGTGCATTCTGATAGCCTGCGAACAGCAGACGCATTTCCGGTCGTCACTTCTCTCCCTCCGAAAAATAGCTATTTTTCGGAGGGAGAGAAGCGACGACCGGAAATGCGTCTGCTGTTCGCAGGCTAGCATTCTGACCGATCAGATCATTCCCTGATATCACCTGTCCTGTTTCCCAATTAAAAGCCAGAAAATTTGTTTAACTTGCTTCACTTTAATGTCATTATATTATTATTGTCATAAAGACCCAAAGCTTTCAAGGTGGACAGTGGTTAAATATGTATTAAATGTTTATTATTGTATACACTCAGTGGGTTTGATTTTTTTAGGTACATAGCAGCTTCTAACCAAGAGAGTTTTCGCACTGATCTGAAAGCTCAGTTGTTTCCTCTCTCTAACCCACGGGGTGCGGAGGTTAGGGGGGAGGGGAGAGCACCGAGGACCAACACATCTACGAGTACGAGACACTAGTTTTTTTAGGTGGTAGAAGTCGTAATCGAAACATTGTTGGATGTTACATGTTGCGACCTTTGCACACCCACACCCTGTTGCATGTTGTTGCGCAAAGATTGAAACCGGTCAAACTTTTGATTCAACAAACCCCAACATTTCTTTTGTTCCGCGATCGCCGAAGCGCAGCGCAACAATGTTAGCCTGTCCCCGGCTCCGAGATAGTGGTGGAAAGTCGTTCAGTTTAATACATTCCCACTATGCTGTCTGAGAGCCTGGCACAGGCTACAACAATGTTGAATCCGTTTGCACAGCTCTTCCTTAAGCTCTTCCAACATTGTTGGGGCCACGCAAACGCATTACACATGGCTTACAAAGTGTTATGGGCTGTATCCTTCCCACTATGCATTGCAGGTCCCAACATTGTTGGGAGTTATATTTACATGCATACATTCTGATTGAGCACATCCCCATCTGAGACTTTTCAGCGATAAAATAGGATTACATGTGGTAAAAATTAACAACTATAGATCAAACCTATTCACAGAAATCGAACAATTATGTACATTTAAATTACATTAAATAACTAAGTATAAAATTCGTTCAGAAGATGATTTTTTAAAGCTCTCTGAAAATTAAGAAAGCGGGATAAAGAAAGAACCATGAAATGAAATTAAATGCAAAAACCGTGGACGAACATCCTACTGGTTATAAATGTTGAATCTCTAGAAAAGAGATCTAATCAGCCAAAATATTAAGAACCAAAAACAAGAAGTCCAAAGACTACGGCAAAGCTGATGAGAACAACGTGTATTGTAAACGAAACAATACACGTTGTTCTGATCAGCTTTACAGTAGTCTTTGGACTTCTCCTTTTTAACAAAGAACCAGTTGATTGGACCTCTGCTTTCAAGAGCTTCTACTCCCAATTGTTGGCCCAACATGAATACCTGAATGGGCAAATATGGTAACTTTCCGTCCCAAATACCCTAAGTGAGACCAAAACTGCATTTTACACCGCCCCCCCCCCCCCCCCCCCCCCCCCCCACCACCACCCCCCCCCCCCCCCCCCCCCCACCCCCCCCCCCCCCCACCCCGCCCCCCCCCCCCCCTCTCCCCCCCCGCCGCTGTTCCGCTCTATGGTATTGGCCCCCTCCTTTCCAAGGCTCTTCCCCCCACTTTTTGGCCCAACATGAAAACCCCAAGGGGCAAAAATGGTAACTTTCCCCCCCCAAAACCCCAAAAGAGACAAAAACTGCCTTTTACCCCCCCCCCCCCCCCCCCCCCCCCAAGCTAGATGACGAGCATCCCCGTCACTTTCATATGGGAGTCTCCCCCTCCCCTTCCGGGACAGTGACCAACTCGATTGATGGTTGTTCCACCGCGGGTAATGAGACAGCCGCGCTCGAACTAGTTTCAATATGATGGCGGTGAAAGTCTGGCACAGCGTTCTCCGGTTGTCGCAGATGTAGTATCTCGAGAAATGCGCGCCGTAACTTCTTCATTCGCCAGCAGTAAATAATAGGATTACAAAGAGAACCTAACATAACACAGGTTTGTACCCAGCTCGTTAAGATGATTAGAAAACGCGGCGGTACGTTGCTGTTTTGAGAAGCAGCAACTACAGCCAGTATTATTGGTATATAGGTCATCACTAATGCAATAAGAATGATTGCCAAAGTGTCAGCTGCCTTGCGGTCTTTTTTGACTTTTTCAATTTCTTCTTGAGGTAACTGTTCGGTGTTGAGACGTTTAATCTGCCGACGAGTTTCTGAGTAAATGTAACCGTATGAGAGTGAAATGGCAGCAAGGAAGAAAGTTGCCATGAGAAGATTTATTATTAAAGTCACGTTAAAGAAAAACGAGTAGATTTTCCCTTCACTGTCTATTAAAGCCAAAACAGTTTCATTGATTGTCACAAGAAGTGTCATAGCCCAGGCTAGGATAATACTGATTACTATCTTCTTTACTGTGACAATTTCCTGGTACCTCAAGGGGTATTTAATGGCAATGAATCGGTCCATGCTAATCACGACCAGATGACTGAGCGAAGCACACCCGACGATTCCAATGGCCGCTACATAAGTCTTTTCCAAAGGACAAAATGGACCAACATCAAGAAGCCGCTTCAGTTCTACCGAGAACGCAATGGGGAGAGCAACCAGTCCTGTAAGCAAATCAGCCGCGGCTAAACAGGCTAGTAATATGG